TCTCATTATTTTTAACACATGTAGTTATCACTTTATTGCAGAGACGCTATTGGTTAAATGCCGACAAAATATAACAAGCAAGCAGCTTGAATTGGAAAGCGTGCATATGTCTGCCGTCTGGAGGTATTATAACGTTTATGACGACAACAATGCCATAGCAATCTTTGAGATGTAGAAGCTTGGGATTGCCTGCCAGGTATTCTAAGTTGAGGTGATATTTGCTTTTGTATTAGCATTATTGTTATTATGCATTATTATATATTTTTATCACTATTATATTAGATTTTTTTTTATATTTACTGTTGCACTAAAGTCCAAAAGTGAAGAATTTATGTTATTTATTACTTGATTGTTCAAGCTACCTCTCAGAAGTGCTCTGTTTGTAAACAAAGTGGTTGAATGTTAAAATTAGGTGAATATAAGATAAAATAATGAACATCTTGGATCTGTTTCTTCGCTTTTTAAAAAAAAAAATTTTATGTGTTCAGTATCAGATCGGGTTTCTCTATCAGTAGATCCTCAAATTTAAATGACAAGGAAAATTGAGGCAAAAAAATTGATAGGTACATCCCAATTATTTAATAATATCTTTCGGTTTTAGTATTTAATAAATAATCTAATCCTGCGATGTGACATTTGCAGATGCACACATTGCAATATTAATGATAAGACGATATATTGTGCAGCCCTATTGTGTGTGTATGTGTGTACCTGTTTTTATATTCCAGTGGGGACTTAAACCTTAATGCACACAGACTAATGGAAACCTCTGTCACCTTGGGGACATGAATTTATAATAGGGCTGGCCGATTAATCGAAAAGTAATTGAAATTGACATTAAGAATGTATAATCGATCAAATTTTTCCAGGAAGATTTTGTATTACTTTTTCTATGTGTCACGTTGACCCCGCTCTGTTAAAGGCTGTGGCTGAGTTCTACTTTTCACATCTGATCTCTGGTCAAGTAAGACGATGGACTCATTCTCGAGACTTACTTTGCACTGCATTGATGATGATTGGAAGCTGTGCCACACATGCCTTTAGATGACATAAAAACTTGTCAGTGAACTATTAGGGCAAAAAATGAAATATAATAATCGTTCATTAGTCGCAATCAAGTTAAAATGTTTAATTAATGGAGATTTTAATTTAAGGCGAATTCGCCCAGCACTAATTGATAAACATGTTTATCAATCAAACATTAACAAAATGTAAAATGGGGGACGGAATATTCAGTCTGTGGAACAGGAACATCATTAAGTCTATGAGAGTCCCCACTGGGATGTATGAATAAGTGTGTGTTTGTTTGTGTGCATGTGTGTGTGTATGTGTGTGTGTGTGTGTTTGTGTGTGTGTGTATGCCTGTGCCATCCCGGCTGGAATTCATCCATATTTCATGACTGATAAAGGTTTCGGTAGCTGTGTACACTTTCCAAAGAGCACAACTGTAACATGCAGCCATTTTGCCATATCCAGTGCAATATTCTCCAGATGTGGTTTGTGACTAATGCGAATATTGAAAATCATTCTTTGATTTGCCATAATATCATTCAGCAATATATAGTACAGCGAAACAGAGGTACTGTCTGTTGTCTCGCCCTCCATGCCCTTTCCAACTACACCTCTCTTCTTTGCTCTGACCTTCTCTCCATCTAAGTGAAGAAATGACCAAATGTCATCCTGTTTATTTGAGTAAAGCTGTAGCGAATGAGATCACAGAAGCCCATGCAAACTGCACTGTACCGCTGGAACGCTTTCTCTAGCCATCAGCCAATGAGATGAGCAGATTTCTAGACTGCTCGTCAGCCAAAAACCATCCTTCAAACTGTCAGCTGCTGTCACAACAAACTTACAAAAACACACAAGAAACAAATCAAATGAAATCACTGAGGTTATCTTTTCACCCAGCCTGCCCTGAAGATTGGGTTATGTTTATTACAACCATCAGGTAAATTATTCCATATTTATTGATATGTATAAAAGTGTGGGTATTCATACAGAGAAGAGAAAAACAGACTGATTTAAAAACAAGCCTGTTAGATGGACGGACGGACGGACGGACGGACACAGACAGACGGACGGACAGACAGACAGATAGAGTAGGGCTGCACAATATTTCAGCATAGTCATATGGCAGGATAAGCAATATTGAGTTTCACAATTCATCATTTGCATGTAGTTTTGATGTTTGTGATTCTAAAATTATTTAAAAAGCATTCAGGTATAAGAAATTGTACTATTTGTGTCCTTAACTACGATTAAGCTCATAGAATTATTTTTATCATTCAGTTACTGTACCTGAATACTGTTAGACTTGGGAAACGCTAAAACACTTTTTCAATTGTTTCTTATTTTTCATTGTATTTATAAATTGTGATACATGAAAATAGTCACAACACACGCAAATACTGAAATACACGGCAAATAACACAGACCACAACAAAAATTGGGATGTGTCGGGAGACCCCACAAAGGTTTATAGATTGTTTATTAGTTGTTTTTGGAGATGCACTCCCACTGTAGAATCATCCCAATCAATTTAACCTTATAAATTTGTTCCGAATAAAGATATTCGTTCCAAATATGTGAAATTGTATTCGTATCGCAATAAATAACACAAAATAAAAAAATATTTTAATGTTACATTTTTCCAATATCGTGCAGCCCTAATGGATGGATGGATGAATAGATGGATGGATGGACGGACGGACGGACAGAAAGACACCCAACATTATGGGAATGTTAAAAATTCTAAAACAAGTAGTAACATAAAAAAAAAAAAACATTTCTGGTAAGAAGTTCAAAAAGCAGTGTATAAACATTAAAATTGTGCTAATGTAACGATAACATTATTAAAGATCAGATCATTTTGAACGAACATTCTATAAACATTTCTAGAAGAATGCTTTAAAAAAAGACAGTCAGATGACAGACTCTCTTTTAAGTTTGAAAACATAATTTATGAATGATTTCTGAACAATTAAAATGTAAAATTGTCAACAAATAATCTTACAAATGTTTTAAGGTTATGCAAATGTTAACAGAAATTACATTTTATTGCTTTTGCCAACATTAAGGGAATGTTAAAACTCTAAAATAAGAAAAAATATTAAATTAACATTCAAATTTTTTCATAAAAAAATTCCATATAAGCATCGTACAAATATTAACATTGTGTCAGGACAACATTATTAAAGATCAGACCAGTTTGAATGAACACTATATAAAACAAAATAGGTGGAAGAATATTTGACAGATAGTGACAGACAGACAGACAGACAGACAAGATTCTCTTTCCAGACATCTTTTTTAAACATATAAAAAGTCTAAAATACTTAAAAATATTTTAAAGTCATGCAAATGTTAATGTAATGTTCATTTTAACATTTTTTTGCCAACATTACAGGAATCTTAAAAATCGAAAACAGAAAAAATAAAAAAAATAAAACGAATACTCAAAAAAGACATTTTACGAAAAATGTTCCATACAAGAAGTGCAAGAATATTTGTTTAGTTGCTTTGGAAAATATAAACAGATGTTTCAATGTAATATTAACATTTATGTCTCTGAAATTGATGTTTTGAATTTTTACTGCAAATGTCACATCCAAAACACTGAAATTGCTCATACTGTACATGTTTTTATTTTTTTAAAGAATGTTTGACAGAATAAGTCAGATAGACAGATGACAGAGACAGATAGACAAGATTCTCTTTAAATTGGAAAACATTTATAAAGACTTTCTAAACATTAAAAATTTATTTTTTTATGTTTTCAAGTCATGCAAATGTTAACAGAACGTTCATTTTATTACTTTTGTCAACATTATGGAAATGTAAAAAAAAAAAAATCTAATGATTATTCAAATAAGACATTTCATGAAAAAAGTTCCATATAAGAAGTGCATGATTATTAACATTAACATTGTGTACCGTAAGGCTATTAGCCACTAGATTATTATGGATCAGACCATTTTGAACGAACATTGTATAAATGTTTTTTTTTTTTTTCTTGAAGAATGTTTGACAGATAGACAGACAGACAGACAGACAGACAGACAGACAGACAGACAGACAGACAGACAGATGACAGCTAGATAGTCACAAATAGACTGACAATTAGGTAAACAGTCAGAGAAAAAAAGAGAGACCGAAAGGCAAAACAGCTACACGTATACATTAATGTATATAAACATCTGAATATTTGTAAACCAACAATATGTAAATAAACAAACATTCACATTATAAAATACGTTTGATGACAGAACGAATAGACAAGGAATATGGTATTTTGCAATAAACAATATTTTGTCGTTTTTAAAGGAAAATCATAAGCTCAATAAATCAATTAGATCGTCTGTATGAGGGAAGACAAAGATCAGCCTTTACTGCGGCTATTTCTTCTTATTGCTGCATGTAAGAGCTATTCACAAGATGCCCATTCAAATTAATGAAGGAAAACAACATCAATAATTAAAACCGATTTTTTAAAATAATAAAATAATTTAATAAACGCTCGATATCCAGTACTTTCCCCCGCCATCGAGATTGTAAATAATCGGAAAATGATGTGACATTTCATCTGCCATCAGATTGTAGATGTCACGGCTCATTATCGCACCTGCAGCGATGTAACTTGCGTTTGTATTAACGATGCGGCAATATAGTATAAATGTATGACTTACCAACGCCATATTTTTCATGTTCGGTCGGTATCCACATTTTTTCCGCGTCAAGTAAAAGAAAATGTGCTATAAAACAGGGCAATTACGGCGCCTACTATCCATATTGTTGTTCCACAGGGTTGCACTGTATTGTTCTGAGGGCAGAGCCACAGCAGCAGCATCCCACATACACCACACTTCTCAGCCCTGGAGAAAAACACAATTGCCTCATGGGAAGTGTAGGAAATGAATGGAAGACGGGAGAATTGAGAACTACAATACCCATCAATCCCTTCTCTAGCAGCGGTTAATGAACGATTGGTCAGTGCTTCTTACAAGGTCACGTGATAGTGAAGGAAGAATGGCTGCTCAGATGCACAACATTAACGTGACAGGTAAGTGAAGTGGTTTATTAATATTAGCAACTATGTAGTTGTTATGTTGCTTATTGCGATTGTTTTAATGTTTATATGTTTAAAAGTATTACTTTGTGTGGACTACGACCATAGCTACGGCAAACGCGGTTAGTTCATAAATTAAGACAAATTGTTGAGTAACACTAAGTTTGTTAAGCCTGTCATGACACTTGCATAATTCGTGTCTTTTAATACTGTTCAGTGCTGCTGGTTTGTTTTTAAAGTAAACATTTTCTTTATTTGCGATTCAAATTAAATTAGCTAAAGTGGCGTAAAAGAAGCACATAATCATATTGAAGGCAAATACTTCAATGATTCACATTAAGTAACTAACGTTAGTCCAAATTAAATGTCAAAACGTTTGTGGAATACAAACATGTTGTATTTCTAAGTACAAAATATATTTATAATGTTAGGTAATGCGTATAATATAATGCATTTATCGTGTATGGCTAATTGTGTACACCCAAAGTGCTTCACAATCATGGGGCGGGAGGTCTCTCCACACCACCACCAGTGTGCAGCATCCACTTGGATAATGCAACGGCAGCTACAGGACAAAGGTGCCAGTGTGCTCACCACACACCAGCTATTAATATCAATATCACTAAATATTTATGACTTGATTTTATTCCATAATTATGGGCTGATTAAAGGTTTAACATCTCATCTAAACGACGGCGCTCACTGACAGTATAGTGTCCCCTTCACTTTACTGGGGCATATGCTGCATTCACACCAGGCGCAGATAAACTCAAGCGTGAGTGGTTTACGTATTAAGTCAATGCAAAGACGCGAATAGACATCCTGCGGCCTGAATGACGCGATCCGTGTAAGCACAACAGCGCGAGTTGAGCATTTTGCACGTTTGACGTGCTTGCTGTGCTTAAAGGGGTGATTTACTACAATATAATATTTTAAACTTTAGTTGGTGTGCAATGTAGCTGTGTGAACATAAACAGCATCTCTGAATGTGAAATGCTCAAAGTTCAATGTAAAGGGAGACCTTGATTGTTATAAAGTTAGCTTAGCAAAGCCTACAATGAACGAATTTTGGATACTACAAAAAAAAATACTTCTGGGCCTGTGAGATTATAAAGGTATTTTTACCGTGCACATACACTGCGCAGCTTAGAACCAGAGGCACTGTAATGTTACAGCAGAGAAAGCTAAAATGTGTTTCAAACACTGCTGTTTCCACGGAGCTTCGTCTGTTTCTGTATTTGGGCTTCCAAAAGTAACTACACAAAAGACAGAAGAGCTTACAGTTCAATATTAATTATGTTCCAGAGCAGGGGTCAGCAACCTTTTGGAAACTAAGAGCTACTTCTTGGGTATCGTTTAATGTGAAGGGCTACCAGTTTGATACATACTTCCTAATAATAAATTTGCTCAATTATTATTAATAATTAATGATATTCATCTATGTGAAGACACTGATCATGTTAATGATTTCTCACAATAGTTGTCAACATTGATTGGAAACAGATAAATATTAATATGCAACACTTCATTTGTCTGAAATTGTTTTTAAAGTTTTTTTTAATATATAACTTAATGTTATTTTCAATTTTACACCCATACAAGTGTGATTTAAAAAGAATAGCTGCAAAAAATATTAGTTGCAGCTTACTGGTATGTGGTGCTATGGTAAGCACATTTTTTTTAACAGGCCCACGAGCAACTCATGTGATCCTTGCGGGATTTTTTTTTTTTCCATGTGGGGTGGGGAAAAAAAAGATTTTTAAAACTATTTTTTATTAAATATTATTTGAAAAATCTTTATAAACTAAACATCAAAGAACAATATTAACTATGCAAATTATTAACAATATAAATAGCCATATATAAAATAAATAAATAGCCAAAGCTATCACTTTTGTTTTCTTTGTAACAAAATACTGTTGAAAAACCAAACAGAAATAAACTCCATTGTGTAGATGGTTCAAGCATGTTGAAAATTCTTTTTCAATCAAGTTCTCTTACATAGAAAAAGTTATTTAAATGGCTACTAGGGATGCTCATTTCTTTAATTTTGTTAACCGACAAACGCTGCTCATTAATCGGTTTTTAACGGTTAACTGGTCAGATTACTATTAATTTTATATTAAACAAATTGACGTGTCTATGTTGTGTCCGACACATTAAATATTGCATTTTAAAATACTGAAATATTTTTATATGTTAGCATATTAATAGCGGAACAGAACAACAGAGCATTTTCACGCACCTGCAGTGTTTAGCACTGTAGAGCAGAATAATCTAAATAAAATAAATGGGACTGCCCTAAATTATTTTCACTTAAATGATTAATTTATATTACAAAACGAAAATAAGTAAGATGTCAACTTCTATTACATCTATTATAAAAAAAAAATGTCAAGATATGCATTAAATGGTGTTCTGTCATCAATCAGAATAACTTATAAGCATGTAAAAATGAAGCAACATGCTTCTTTTAAGCTCTAAGTATTAAAACATTTAAACAAATATGTGGTCTTATTAAAGTTAACATTTGAAGTGGATCATCGCCTTTCATAAAAGCTACACCTAAGGCTACTGAACAACTCCACTGCTTGTCCTATGACAATTTAAAAAATAATTTTTGATATGCCTGTCACAATAATCGATATATTTACTTTTTGCACAATACATCAAAGTGACCTCAATATTTATAATTTTTTTTTGTGATGTAATATATATTGCCCATACATCATGGACCTTGTAGGTAGAAATTTGTACCTTTTGAAAAGATTTTATGGCATTTAGCCATATTTTCTATTTTTATTGTAAAGAATGTACACTAAATACTTTGTGAACGGGACTCATTTTAATTTAATGGGGGAAAACAAATCTGTAATACACTTTTATTGTTTTGATTATTTAAAAATAAATCACTCTTTAAGATCACCCATCTTAATCAGCTCTACCTTGTCTTCCAGGGTGAAAATTAATTTAAAAACCATGTAAAACTACCAAAAAAAACTGCTTGACTGGTTAACAAACCATTTTATACTAGATAAGTCTGTAAAAAAAATAAATATGCGTCTGTGTTTGTGTGTGTGTCTGTCTGTGTGTGTGTGTGTGTTTCCCAGCTCCCCTGTGTGAGTGGTTCGAGTGCAAAGACACTCTTTTTTTATGAATAAATTATCTAATAGATGACCTTTAATCTGTCACTGCAAGACCACATGAAGTGCACTTAGTAGTACAGTACACACATCCAGGTTTTTAGTGGATAGCCTGCGGTTTACATGAGTCACCCAGTCATTTTGTGTGAATCAGCTACTTGTTTGTGTGAATGTTGGACATCTTGGAGTCTGTGGGATGTATGAGATGAGGGTTTCACACTTACTGCAGTGCAGTGAATTAAGTACCCATGATGAATACAGCAGCATCAGTCATCAAAAAATAAACATCTGTCACTCATATTGTAATGAAAGTAGGGATGTCCCGATACAACATTTTATGAAACTTTGATCCAGTTTTAAGCTGAAAAATATCTTTCACACTGGGCAGCATAAATAATAAGTTGTTGTTGTAAGTTATCGTTAAGTTAATAAAAATGTGCAGTATGGTTAGTACAAACATTTACATGATCAGATCTATTTAATCTGTGTTTGTATCATAAGAAGATTATGGCTGTATCAATGTTCCCAAACAAAACATTATTAATTTTATAATAATATATATTGCACATTATCTTTAACAAAAATACTTGTAGTAGCTGAATTGAAACACACCTTTTCTCCACAGCACATACATAAATGTGACTTTTAAGAATAATTTTATTTATTAGAATTCATTCTATTTGCATAATATATTGCACAGATTCAACCCTACTACCCACATGGGAAAAGTACGACAATGTAAAGAAAGACAGAACTGCAAACTCATGTGCAAATCTGACACTGTTTATCAAGGCACTTTTTCTTTCTGGGCTTTTTAAAGAAGAGTAAAATGTGGGAATGTCTCTAATTAAATTTTTTATTTTGCCAGAAAGCAATACCATTCTTTCTTTTAAACAGTCATGGCCCTCAGCAACAGAATGGTTTCTTATTCTAATTTAACAGACCATTAAAACAGCAAAAATGTTTTGCATTTACCACCTTTTACATGACATCCATAGAAAACGAAAGCAGAATCTGGGACATGTTAGGAGATTTAGAAATCCTGACTAAATGCATTTTTAAGTCTCAAATAGAGGACATGTCTGGGAAAAAAAGAGGATGTATTGTCACCCTAAAAAATGAGCTGGGTCAGTCTATTTAGTAAAAAGCTTTTCTTCGCGTGTCCTCGTGCTCATCTCAAAGCTACTACCAAAGTCAGATGTCCAGCACGTCTCTGGAGTCTGAAGCAGCAGAGCATCAGAGTCTGTGGAGTTTCTCATGCACACAGAACCGGGCCACTGAGGTAAAGTCTTATGTGTGGGAAGCGCTGGTGTTGAATTGGGTATCACACAGGATGAACCACAATATGCCATAACCGAATTGTAACGTAAATGTTTTAAATGAGGCTCGCACAATGTGCGGTTCGTCGCCATTCTGTGCCTTGCGCTGCTTAGCAGCGTATACAAAACAAGTAACTTAAAGATCGCTTGAGGTGAAGTAAATAAATCTGTAGAAGTGCCTTGAGCTATTCTGTATTTTTTTTAACTCTATGCTTTAAACGATTTTTTTGACATATCCGGAATATCAGGTGCAAGTGATTTGAATCATCCACATATCTTTTGTGACTTTGTTATCTGAGATGTAAAACGCATGAAAACACTGCCTAAAGAGAATCAATGCAAAGTCATGCACACACATAGACAGAGGCTGCGCGTGTGCGTGTGTGCGCGTGTGTGCGTGTGTGTGTGCGTGTGTGTGTGTGCGTGTGTGTGTGTGTGTGTGTGTGTGTTTACAGCAGTTTGACTGATAAATATGAATTTGTAGGCAAATCGTTTGCGGTGCAAAACAGCATTTCCTGTTGTTTACATCGTTGCTACTGTAAACCATCAATGCTAGACACTGTACATGTCATGATAAATTTTAACAAATAAAAACACTTACAGGTTGTAGTTCACAGCTTCTGCTTTGAGGAGATTTTAGCCGAATACAGCACTGAACTAGGAGAGATTCTGGAGCTGTGTTTTGTCAAATCATGCTTGCTATATATTTTATAATTCTCTGGAATATAATTAATTTTGAACTGTAAGCACTTCTGTCGTTGTGTCGTGTCCTTTTGAAGCCCAAATACTAAAACAGATGAAGCTCTGTGGAAACAGCAGAGTTTGGACGCCAATTTAGCTCTCTCTGCTATAACATTACAGCGCCTCTGGCCACGGCTCTTAGCTGTGCAGTGTGCGTGCATGGCAAAAGTACCTTTGTGATCTCACAAGGCCCGGAAGTATTTTTTCGTAGTCCCCAAAATTTGTTCATTGTAGGCTTTGCTAAGCTAACTCTGTAAAAACTAAGGTCTCCCTTTGCATTGAACTTTGAGCTTTTAACATTCAGAGATGCTGTTTATGTTCACAGCTACATTGCACAACCAACTAAAGTTTAAAATATGATATCGTAGTGGACCACCTCTTTAAATCTTAAAAGGACTTTGCTAGCAAGCAGTGTTGTGATCACGTGGGCTTTGCAAGCTGGCTCTGTACGCTGCTGGATAATAGCTGTAACGGAGTTTAGAGAGTATCGGACTACTTCTATTGTAGATTTCTAACGCAGTCCAATACATTTTTTTGGACTGATATCGGACCTATTTCTGATATCAATATTGGATCGGGACATCCCTAAATGAAAGTGCTGTAGGGACTAGAGATGTAATGGTATGCACACACACACACACGCACGCACGCACGCACGCACGCACGCGCACACACACACACACACACACACACACACACACACACACACACACACTTTCCATGGCATTCCCCCATTTTTTTGAATGAACTACTAACATATAAAGTTTGCAGCTCTATAGGCCACATGGATGTCTGAATTTGCATTTATTTTGTATGTAGTCTACTAATGTAAAGTATGTGAAATTCCTTATTTTGCTTTTGGTGTAAATGCAGAGTAAGGTTGCACGGTATTGAAAAAAATATTACATTGCAATATTTAGTTTTTCTGCAAAATACAGTTAGGTCCATAAATATTTGGACATTGACACAGTTCTAACATTATTGGCTCTATACACCAGCAGCACAGTGGATTTGAAATTAAACGAACAAGATGTGCTTTAACTGCAGACCTTTAGCTTTAATTTGAGGGTATTTACATCCAAATCAGGTGAACGCTGTAGGAATTAAATAGTTTGCATATGTGCCTCCCACTTATTAAGGATCCAAAAGTAATTGGACAGCGTAATAATCATAAATAATCACAAAAAAAATATATGGACCTAACTGTATATCGCGATATGAATACAATTTCACCAGAGGGCTTTAATAGCTCCATTTTAAAAAAAAGAAAAGAAAAATCATTCATTTAGATTGGTTTGGTTGATTTTAAAAGGTGTAAATTTTGTTTTAAAAAATTATAAAATTAAATGGAAGCAATTAAAATGGAGCAAAGAAAAAAATAAGTGTTATGAATTCTAATCTTGCTTGGCTCCACACAGCAAGCCAGTAACAATAAAAAAATAAATAAAAATTATTAGAACTCCTCTAAATTAATGAGGAGCCCGGAGTCTCATCTCCCGTTTAAAAGTAAAAACAACAACAAAGACGAATGACCAAGGAAAAACGTATTAAACGTTTAAATTTAAAAAAAGAAACAATAAAAAGCTTACGAAGGTAAATGCCAAAATAGCAAAAAAACTCAACAGCTAACTAAGTTTTTAACCCTCTTACCAGCACATGAAACTAAACGCATAAAACAGGGGTCACCAATCTCGGTCCTGGAGGGCCGGTGTCCCTACAGGGTTTAGCTCCAACCTGCCTTAACCTTGACAAGCTTGTTCAGGTGTGTTTGATTAGAGTTGGAGTTAAAATCTGTAGGGCACCAGCCCTCCAGGAACAAGATTGATAACCACTGGCATAAAATAACATTCTCTTACCTCCCAACTAGAAAACATGAGGAAAATGTAATAAAACAAAAAGGCACCCTCCTCAGCACACGTGTCTCCTCGTAGATCTCAAAGTCAACACTCAACATTCACTACCAACAATTTAGCCGAGTGAATACGACACAGTTTCTACTTCACAACATAAGCTGGGAGAGTGGAGACTCTCCGAATGATGTTCCAGTCCAGTTTAAATGGTCTTCACCAACAAGCCGACCTCCACCTGCTGGCACCTGATTCACCGCACCTGTGCGGTAATGATGAAACCTATTCAGAGACAGAGGCGGAGAGAAAAGAACCACAAGCAATACACACTTAATAACAATCAAAACTCGCTACATTATATATTTATTTATATTATTTTTTTATATTATATAATAATTTAAAGAAAATACGCAACATAAGATAAACAGTTCATTATGGTTTTTCGAAAAGTCAAACAGTATTCAGATACAGAAATTTACTAATGTAATGTTAAAAACACTGTATAGTCTTCATTGTATATATTTTTTCTTCATTAAAGTTACTAATGTTTTACGTTATTGTGCCCTTAAGCTTTGCACTTTCTTGAAATGCCTTTATTTTATGGTTGTAATGACTCCACTAATCTCATGTGTTCTAAATTGTTGATCGACCAGTGTCCCAATTTAACATTGCATATCCGGCGATTTGACTATTGCGGACACAGACACATTGCAGTGTTAAGGCCGAAACTATACTGTTCAGCCCTAATGCAAAATATTATAATACATATGCTGCAAAAACCTGTGTATAAATGTTTTAAAGTGAAGTAAAGACATCCTGTTCTCAGGTTAGTAGGATTCTGAACACAGTTCATGTATAGAACTCTAAATCTATCATGCTCCTTATCAGCAACGGTGTGGTGCAAGGACAGGGACATCCCTAAATCCCCTGGCAGTGGCAAATAGCTTTGGTTTTAGATTTTTAATTTGATTACATTAATGTTAATGTAATATTTACAGAATATTATATCCGTTAACAAGTTAAGGGGATACTGCTTTCAAAAAAAAACTAATCAATATTGCACTTTTTTTTTTTTCAAAAACCATTAGAATAAAACTTCACAATACACAAAGAATCCGATTTAATCACAGACAAATCACATGATTTTAAAAAATGTATGATTCCCCAGCATTAGTAAATACATCACAGTAAGGAGAGAAGTAAAATCACAACTTCCTTTTCTACTTTAACAGCGGATTTACATTTTTGGTGGGACTGTCCATTTTAAATGTGTTTTCCCTCATCATTAGGTAAACAGGATTGTATACTAGAGCCACTTTGTTTTCCTGAGAACTTCAGCGATGGGGTTTGTCTCGCCTCCTCCAGCGATGGATGTCCAATGACCTGCGCTCTGTGTCCTGACTTGTTTCCTGCTTCTGAAAAAGACCAACTTCTCAAGCACATGGTGTTGGAGCATAAACTGGTTATCGCTGATGTCAAACTCATTGCAGACTTTTCACAGTAAGGCTTGATGATTTTTAACCCACATGATGTAAGAAATAAAATACATAAACATTATAAATAAAACAAAAATGATTTGTTGCAGGTACATGCTGTACTGGAAGAAACGGTTTACAGAACAGCCCATCACAGACTATTGCAGTGTTATCAAGACCAATTCTGAAGGTCCTGTTGGTAAGACATTTGAGTCAAACAGTTTTAAACGTTAGTTAGTTGGTGTGTTTTTGCTCTTTGAAGCACGCGTGTTTTAAATAGGTCTCAACACAAACAACTAAAGAAACAAGCTGCAAATTGTTCACAACACTTGCAAATATGCACATAACGCAACAGAAATGTTTCTAGGGAACCCAAAACCATGACAGAACGTGCTGCGCACACATCATGAATGTTTACAAACCAGTAATTCATCTATAGGTTTGCAAAAATTGCAATTTCCCCAAAATTTATATATATATATATATTTTTTTTTTAAGTAAAATTACCTGTGCCTAACATGGCAATTATAGTTTGAATGCATGTGTACAGTAACTGTTCTAGGTCAGTTTTGTTACTGTTTGCAAAAATAAACATTGAAACATCCTTAGTAGCAACTAATGATACATTTTTAGGTTGTAATGTTATAATATAGGGGTGACATGTTGCCTCAGTGGTTAGCACTGTCGCCTCACAGCAAAAAAGTCACTGGTTCGAGTCCCGGACGGGTCAGTTGCTATTTCTGTATGCATGTTTCCTCTGGGTGCTCCAGTTTCCCCCACGGTCCAAAGACATGCGCTATTGGTAAATTGAATAAACTAAATTGGTCATAGTGTATGAGTGCGTGTGTGGATGAGTGTTTCCCAGGACTGAATCACAGCTGTAAGGGCAACAGCTGTGTAAAACATAAGTTGGATTAGTTGGTGGTTCATTCAACTGTGAGGACCCGTAAAAAAGGGACTAAGCCAGGGGTGTCAAACTCAATTCCTGGAGGGCCGAAGCCCTGCACAGTTTAGTTCCAACCCTGCTCCAACACACTTACCTGTAGGTTTCAAACAAGCTTGAAATACTCAATTAGTTTAATCAGGTGTGTTTAATTAGGGTTGGAACTAAACTGTGCAGAGCTGCGGCCCTTTTGGAACTGAGTTTGACACCTGTGGACTAAGCCAAAGGAAAATGAATGAATATATATATATATATATATATATATATATATATATATATATATATATATATATATATATATATATATATATATATTTTTTTTTTTTTTTTTTTTATTATTTTTTTTTTCTAATGATTGAGAGGTTAACTCACAATCATTACCAAAAAAAAATCTGAATTAGAATAAAATGGTCAGAATTGTGAAGGAAAAAAGTTAGAATTACTCTAAAACTGAAAGAGGTTTTCCACAATCTTGCAGTTCTAATGGCATCTCTCACATAGGGATGCAACGGTTATAGATTTTGTTTGTATGTGTATATATATATGTGTGTGTGTGTGTGTGTGTGTGTGTGTGTGTGTGTGTGTGTGTGTGTGTGTGTGTGTGTGTGTGTGTGTGTGTGTGTGTGTGTGTGTGTGTGTGTGTGTGTGTGTGTGTGTGTGTGTGTGTGTGTGTGTGTGTGTGTGTGTGTGTGTGTGTGTGTGTGTGTGTGTGTGTATGTATATATATATATATATATATATATATATATATATATATATATATATATATATATATTCTGTATATACTGTATATTAAACCATAAACATAACCATGCTGGAACCTTTTCAAATTGTTAATAAATATTATTGTTTGCCGTTATGATGCAAATTCCCTGTTTTAAATCTATGTATATCTGTTCAGATTGTTCATTTTAATAATCAAAAACCTTCTTTGTGTCATTATAGATCAACAAGAGCATTACTTTCTGTTATGTGACGCTCTGCCAGAGGACAGAATCCTGAGGGAGCAGCTTCAACAGAGACGACTGGTGAGTGTCTGTGAGAATACAAAGATCTGGGACTGAGACCAGCATATAATAATAGCAAATAATTATGAGTAATCAAGACCTACAGCACTATGCATTTCAGCCAGACTAATATGGAGAAATGGAGTATACACTGTCATATATATATTACAAAATTATGACAAAATCTATAATATGATGTACACTTTTTGTTGTTGTTCTTTTTGTTTATTGATTAAAAAATTCAATGGTAATAAAAAACCTAATGGAGATTGTTTGTACAATTTCTAAATGTATTCCCATTAAATATTTAACTATTTAAATAAATATTTAAAGTTTATATTCTTTCACTATTTTATTTTTTTCACAATTCTTGCATATTATAAGATACTCAAAATTAAGAAAAAAGTCAGAAATGCTACAAGTAAACTCTAAATTCCAAGAGAATTGTGAAAATAATTGTGAAAAGTAAATAGTAAAATTATGAGAACTTGTGAGAAGCTACCTCAAAATTGTGACAAAGGAGTCCAGCTGGTAAGAGATTAACTCACAATCATTAGAAAAAAAAACTGAATTGGAAGAAAATGGCCAGAATTGTGAAGGAAAAAAAGTTTTTTCACAATCTTGCAGTTCTAACGACATCTCTCACATAGGAATGCAACGTTTATAGATTTTGTTTGTATAATTAAAGTATAGTCTGAGGCATAATCACAGTTTCGTGGTTATCACGATTATTACTTCATTAATTAATTATTATCATTCATTTCAAAACACAACTAGTTTAAAAAAAAATTTTAAATACCTTATATTTTTAATTTCTTATTTAAATTATCTGATATTTTATTTATTGCTGCTCAGTAACAAAGTGAAGTTTCACAAACTAATTTCGAAAGGAGCACATGATATGATGGACTACAGCTGATCCTTATCGCTAATCATTAGCTAGCCATTATAAAATTACTATAAATAAATATCCTGCCTTATCTTCATTCCCTACCTTCGCTTTGGAACCACCCCTGAACAAATGTAGTCCATAGCCCCTTTCACACATACAGACCTTTTCTGAAAATGACCAGCAATTTTTCCGGAAAGATCTGCATGTGTAAATGGAGCATTTTTGAAAATACTGGTAAATACATTGTGCCAATTTTCTGGAGAGAGATGTTGTAACATAACCAGGAATTTGCTGCGATGCTCCGCTGTGTGAGCGTAGAAGGAAAATTGCCGTAAAGAGCGTGTTCATGCTTAGAACACACTGGCGTAAGATGTCTACTCCAGCCAATCAGAACATTCAGACACATTTACATCCGTGCTGTTAATGAAAATAAAAGCCTTTGAATATTTTTCCAGACACATTTAGCTGCTAGATGTTAGTCAGATAACGTTTCTATGTTCCTTTTTAATGCCAACTGTGTAAAAAATCTTTGATAAAATGCCTTTGATAAACTGTTGTTAGTTTACCTTCAAGCTCTGCTGTGTGGCACGTGAGCAGTGAGCACGAGCAGATACACATAATATGAACATCTTGACATGCGAAAGTGTTCCTCCATATGTTTTCATTGAAAGTGTTCACAATACTTACTGTATCCATCCACAAAGTTTGCTATGTAGTCAAATGTTTACTTATACAATCACAGCCATTTAGAGGTCATTTCTGGTTAATGATGTCAGAATTTACCGGTATTTTGGAATGTATGTGTAAATGGTCTTTTCCGTAAAAATTCTGGAATGTTCTTGCCTGTGTGAAAAGCGCCTTTTTTAATATATTTAACGGTAAAGTCGTTCCAGCTATTTTCAGGATATTTACTGGTATCCCTGTGTGAAAGGGGCTTATGGCTGCTGAACCTCTTTCTGAAAGACTCTTTTGATCAACTAGATTACAAAATTGCTTGGCATTTTTTATTTTTTGTATTTTTTTTCTCTTTGAAAAAAAGAAATGTGTATATACGTAAATGTGTTAAAATGCCGCTCGCACGATGCTCCAGTGGAAATAACAAATCTGTGTGTGCAAAAGACACTATATGTGAATGGCCCTTAGTTAATAGACTTAATCATGTGTGCATGGGTTTTAGCCTCATTGTACAAGCTCGGACTGTACTGGCACACAGTTGGCGTAACTTTGTTTAGATGCAGCAGTTTTGTTCTGTGGAGAAACGCAGTGTTGAGAAGCTTTTACGATTAATTAACAGTGATGAATTTAGACATGGGCTGATATAAGATTCTGATGACATTATAACTTTGGATAAAAATGTTGTGGTTTAACGGTATTGTGAATACTACTCTAATATACTGTATGCTCTTTTTAAATGTCAGGGTAAAAAAAAAAAAACCTTTCCCACCCTTTATACGCAATATATTTTATTATAAACCCTTTCAAATATTTTGGAACAGTAAACAGGTCAGGCTGAACAATTAAAATGAATCATTGACTTCTGTCTTCATTAGTTTCAAAAACTCAGTTATCTTTACAATTTAAAACAGCATTTTTAGATGTCCCTTCTGCTGGAGATACTGTTGTCCTAAACAAACAAACAAACAAACAAACAAAAGGCATAAATAATAAATCTTACACATACTCAAGAAAGGCTGTAGGAGAAAATCTTGGCGGTTTTAAAAGCTTGACTTTTCCAAATCACAGTATACCTTGAAAACGGTTATTGTCCCATGCCTAGACGAATTAAAGCGCGGTTAATACAGTTAATTATTGCATCACTACTCTCATAATTCTACATTATTATCTTAATCTGAAATCAGCCTTTTTATTGCAAATTAATAGGTTGTCTTGCAGTAATGATTTTTGTCAGAATCCTGAAATTATATCTTGAAAGCTAACAAAGAATTATGTAAGAAGTAAACTCAAAATTCTGGCTTTATCACTTATTCAATAAGATACAAAAATTCTCAAAAATCTGTTGAAAAAATTCAAAATTGCGAGAAGTAAACTCGTGATGCCAAGATAAATGTCTGAATTTTGAGAAAAAAGTCAAAGTTGTGAATTTCGAAATTAAGAGTAAAATCAGAAATGCAGTGTGCTCTTTGTTGGAACTGTTTTTGTTAGAAAATAGTTGAATTTAAACTTGCATTTGTGACAAAAATAGTGAAAATGGTAAGAAATTAACTCACAATAACTAGAAAAAATGTCAGAACTGCAAGAAAAGGCTCAATTGTGAGGTGGCCTCAATTTAATGAAAAAAAAAACAAAAGCAAGAATTCAGAGGGTTTTTGGTCTCGCAAAATTGCAGTTCATTGTATCTTATGAATCGAACAAAAAAAGTCAATGAATTATAAGAAGCAAATGCGCATTTAAAAGAAGGAAAGAAAACATCAAATTGCAATAACATATCAGAAAAATTATCACTATAGTTTAATAAAAAAACAACAATTATCTTTTTTTATTTAATTGAATTCAGTCTTCGAATAACCATCATAGTTTTATAACATATGCAAAACAATTAACACAGAATTTAACGACAAGGCCAGACCCCCCGCCCTGCCTCCTTCCTGTTTTTGCCAAGATATTATGAGTCAACATAATCATCTCGCACACATTTCATCTGTGGCACAAATCTGCGATTGTGGTTGCTAGGCAACGGGGCGCAATGGGCACCTCTGCAGTGGCTGCTTCTGCAGTGTGGCGAGCAGCTATTTACCAGTGCAGCTGTGACCTTTCTCAATCATTCTGTGCCATCAAACTCCAGCTCACGCCATTAGCACTGTTTATTAAACACCAATCATCTGCACGTCGCATCTCGGGGATGATGATGATCGATGATTACGTCAATTTTAAAAACGCAGAGCGATGAAAACAAGGCACGCTGAAATTTGAGTTGTTTAAAAACTCACAATTATGTAATCATGTTTTTAATGTGAACTAAGTGATGCTAGTAGAGTCTGTCAGGAAGTTTGATGGGTTTTGATCGGAGGAAATTGTGTGACAGAGGCAGAGAGATGGTCAGTTTAACAAAAAGTGTCAATTTTGCCGTGTACTATATTTTTAAAACCTGTATATATTTATAAAATGAGGAGACATTAATTTTATAAAGTACTGTTATTGTTGTTCATTTTGTGAGTTTATTTAGTTGAAAATTTTATGGAAAGAAAAAAGTGTTAAAGTTAGGACAGAATTGAGAGATATAAACTTGGAATTGAGATGCTTTTCTTGCAATCTTGCCGTTATGTCAGAATTCTTAGCAATTGAAAGAAATAGTCTAAAGTTCGAAACCACATTCACATCCTGAGTTTACCGATTGTGATTTTTATCCTCACAGTTGCAGGTTTATACAAGATATAAGATGCAAAGCAATGTGTGTTCATGCTTCATTTGTAGAAAATCACATTGGGTTTTTTTTTCATATTACGGTTGAAGTTAGAATTATTAGCCCCCCTTTACAAATTTTTTTTTCTTTTTTTTAATTTTATTTTGTATTTTTTTTTATATTTCCCTAATGATGTTTAACAGAGCAAGGACATTTTCACAGTATGTCTGATAATATTTTTTTCCTCTGGGGAAAGTCTTGTTTGCTTTATTTCGGCTAGAAAAAAAAGCAGTTTTTAATTTTTTAAAACCCAATTTTAAGGTCAAAACTATTAGCCCCTTTAACCTATATTTTTTCGATAGTCTACAAAACAAACCATCAAAAATAAAATATATCAGTTATTAGAGATAATTTAACTTGAAAAACCATCTGGTTAAGGAACCATATTTTGAGAGTTATTTAAACTATTATGTTTAGAAATGTGTCAAAAATCTTCTCTCCATTAAACAGAAATTGGGGAAAAATAATCTAATAATTCAGGGGGGCTAATAATTCTGACTTCAACTGTATCTTTAATAATATACAGCTACTCAGCTACCATGAAAATTACAATAATATTTTCTAGTTCCTCTGCAAGACTGTCATCAAGTGGCTCTTGATTGGTCAGCTAACATAATGTGCTGTGATTCGTGGATCGGGCTGTGCCTGATCGGGCTGTGCCTAATACTGTCAGTCAGTGTAGCTGTTAGCCATATCAGTTGAGCCTAAAGTGCTTTCACACCTGCCTTATTTATTTCGGTTGAATCACACTAGAGTTCGTTTTCCCTCTGGGTGCAGTTCCTTTGGGCAGGTGTAAATGTATCAATCGATATGCCCACCAAAAGCGGACCAAAAAATTGTAGCAAGACCTCCTTGAAGAGGTGGTCTCGGTACACATTTTTAAACGAACCCTGGAGCGGTTTGTTTGTGAAGAGAATATTGGCCCGCGCACTGTACCACTTTTTCAGCACCCTTTTGAAAGGGTACCAAACATAAGAAAGGGTACCAAAAGTTGGAGCTAGACGCACAGCTGAACGCTATTGGTTTACATCGATACATCGTTTGCTTACGCAACAAGTCAGAATGAAAACAAAGGAGCCACCATGTTTAAAATACACAGCTGACGATCCAAGATATTACAGTGTAATTATATATACGTATAATAACGAGCCATGGTTGACCCGAGCTCGTCGCTGTCGTCGTCTTAATGTACAGCCACAAAGCCAAAAAGAAGAGCAGATCTACCCTTTGCCCTTTAGTTTTTTACGAGCCAGTCTGAAGCGCGAGCGGTTTCACTTTTTTGCTTGCGCTTACTGCACGTCTATGTCTGAAATAACAAATGTCTTGAGCCATGATAATAATGTGCGCTTGATTATTGACGTGCTTTTGAAACCCGATCCTGTCAGAAACTGACAAATGCGAGAGTGAAGCGCAAAAAATACAAAGGAGAAGCCCTTAAAAAAGGAGCACATTATTTTTTCAACATGCGTGAACTAACTGCCTTGTTTAACTATTATCATCAACTTTTGGACTATTATGAACTCAGAATGATGGAATGACTCTCTAACAGAGGCTACAAGTGCTGCTGAAGAATAAAGACACAGATGCGAGGTTTTCACTGACTAATATTTTGTGTTGTTTTTGAACCTAAATAAGGACTAAATGTATGCAGTGTGTAGTTTTTGTTATTGGTAAAATATCAGAGACTGTAAGGGTCTGTATGTGTTCATATATGTTCATTTATTTATTTATTTTATATAATTGCAGACGTTACAGTATAGGCTATTTTGCACTGTCATTGATCTGCAGTTATAATCAACTCATGTTCATAGAAAAGGCAATAAACATTTGTACAGAAGTATTTATGGTTGTAAAGCATCTGTTTTGTGAGAAATACTTCTCATATGTTATGCAAGGACCTGTACAGCTTTACTGTAGACATTTTCTTGAGCCAAAATGACGTTGACTGAAACTTTGTCATACACCACACCAACCAAAAGGGTACCCTTGGTAGTGGAAACGCAAGCCTGATAAAGGTGGCCCGTACCAACCCGAACCGTACCGTACTGTACCAGTCAGTGGAAACAGACCCAAAAAGTACTGCGCCTTTTTGGACTAATCCAGCTGCTGTAGTCCGATGCATTATGGGATTTGGAGGAAACATATTTGTTGACATTGCCAGATGGATCGTTGGTAATATTTCCAGAAGATGAACATGTAGCAGTTCAGCAAAATTAATTCACACCTCTTCCTGTCTTTTCACGTTTGTGATGCATTAAAACATTGTTTTCCAGTCGCAGCTGCGCGTCATTCTCAAAGTGTAGTTTGTCTAAAGTTATGTATACAAACTATATAGTATACTATGAGCAGGGATACAATCAGCCAGCGCAGTAGTACCTCCATAGTCAAAAGCGACATTTTGTGTTTCCTGGTTTGTTTACTTGCAGGAGTTCCATTGAGATCTTCCCATACGTGAATTCTGACCAATTGAAAAGCAGTTTAGGAAATATGTTCAATGACATCTGGCCAATGAGTGATGTGGATTTTGTCAGATGACTGCATTTTGGTTCTTTTTAAGTAGTTTAGACCAAAGAAATTAGTGTGGTGTGAAAACGACCCAAAGGCGGCAGAAAATGCTACAATGTATCATTTATTGTCATTGGTTCAGACTAAATGAAGCAAAATACAAATGTGAAAGCACCCTAAATAAGATGGAAAATGACACAGAGGACACAACTAAACCAAATGCCTGCTCTCTTAAAAAAATCTGACAAGTGTCTTTAATATATATTATATATATATATATATATATATATATATATATATATATATATATATATATATATATATATATAAATATATATATAAGTATATGTAAATATTATGAAATATTCACATATATCTTTTGCGAGTTTGCTATTTGAGATGTAGAGTGCAGGGAAAGTGGCCGCTTTGAGAGACAATGCAGCGCTGTTGAAGATTTGTGGCTGTTTACAGTGGTTTGACGCATAAATATGAATTTGTAGCTAAATTGTTACTGGTGACAAATAGCATTTCCCATTGTTTACATCCTTGTTTCCGTTAACGCTAGAAACTGCATGTAATAGATCAATTTTAACAAAAAAATATACTTGCAGGTTTCAGCTCACAATCCACAGCTTCTGCTATTATGGTTGGAGCTGCCCCTTTTTTAAGGAATTGTTCGCAGAATCCAGTACTGAACTGGGAGAGATTCGGGAAGTTGTCCTTTGTCAAATGCTAGCTATATATAAATATATATTTTTTTAATAATTCTCTGGAACATAATTACAATTAAATTGTAAGCTCTTCTGTCTTTGTGTTGTTCCTTTTGGAAGCCCAAATACAGAAACAGAAGAAGCTCTGTGGAAATAGCAGCATTTTAGCTTTTTTTGCTATCATATTACAGCACCTCTGGCCACACACCTTCACTGCGCGGGGTGTATGCACGTAGTTGATACGTGTAACCTGAAGTGTTTGTGATCTTAAAATTTTTATTAATTTTTTTTTTGTAGTCTCCAAACTTTGCTGTAGGCTTTGCTAAGTTATCTCTATTAAAGCCAATGTCTCCCTTTGCATTGAATTACATTGAGCATATTACATTCAGAGATGTTGCTTATGTTCACACAGCTACATTACACATCAACTAAAGTTTCAAATTCCCCTTTTGAATTCTGAAAAGAAAAAAAGGCAGAAGTGCGAGAAATTAACTTGAAATTCCAAGATAACTGTCAGAATTCTGAGAAGGTCAAAGTTATGAGGTGTTAACTCAAAATCAGAAAAGCAAGGAGAAAAAAAGTTAACCATCTGAGAAGCTGCCTTAAAATCATGAGAATAAATTAGAATTGTTGTTGTTAGAAAAATCCCTTAAAATAAACTTGATATTGTGACAAATTCAGACGGGTAAGAGATTAACTCACAATCACTAGGAAAAATTCAGAATTTAAAGAAAAGGGTCAGAATTGTGAAGGAAAAAGTAATCACACAATACTTTTATAAAGCTTTACTATTAGCATTATAGTGATGTTGTATGAATGCTAGCAAAGTTGTGATGAAGTTTAATGTGTTTTAATAGGAGGAAGTTCTGGAACAGCAGCAGAAAGAGCGAGATGATGAAACATTTCATCGCATATGTATGTTTTGCAGCGAGGAGTTTACTGGAAACAGGTGATTGTTGTTCTTATTCGGGCACATGCTGATATTAAATATATAGTAAACCTGTAAAAATATATTAAATTATGGTATTTGAGAAATACTCACCGGCCACTTTTTTAGGTGCAACTGCTTGTTAATGCAAATTTCTCATCAGCCAATCACATGGAAGCAATTCAATGTATTTAGGCATGTAGACAAATCAAGACGATCTGCTGCAGTTCAGACCAAGTATCAGAATCGGGATTTAAGTGACTTTGAATGTGGCATGGTTGTGGGTGCCAGACGAGCTGGTCTGAGCATTTCAGAAACTGCTGATCTACTGGGATTTACACGCACAACCATCTCTAGTGTTTACAGAGAATAGTTCAAAAAAGAAAATATCCAGTGAGCGACAGTTCTGTGGACGCAAATGCCTTGTTGATGCCAGATGGGCTACAGCAGCAGAAGATCACACTGCGTGCCACTTCTGTCCGCTAAGAACATGAAACTGAGACTACAATTTGCACAGGCTCACTAAAATTGGACAATAGACGATTGGAAAAAATGTTGCCTGGTCTGATGAGTCTCAATTTCTGCTGCAACATTCAATGTTAGTGTCAGAATTTGGCATCAACACCATGAAAGCATGGATCTATCCTGCCTTGTATCAACGGTTCAGGCTGGTGGTGGTGGTGTAATGGTGTGGGGGATATTTTCTTGACAAACTTTGAGCGCATTAGTACCAATTGAGCAATGTCAGCGCCATACCATACCTGAGTGTTGTTTCTGACCGTGTCCATCCCCTTATGACCACAGTGTACTCCTCTTCTGATGACTACTTCCAGCAGGATAACGCACCATGTCATAAAGCATGAATCATACTCAGACTGGTTTCTTGAACATGAACATGAGTTCACTGTGCTCAAGTGGCCTCCACAGTCACCAGATCACAATCCAATAGAGTACATTTGGGATGTGGTGGAACGGGAGATTGCATCATGGATGTGCAGCCAAAAAATCTGCAGCAACTATTCCAAGAAGGATTTAAGGTAGTTCTGAAAGCAAAAAGGGGTACCAACCCGGTACTAGTAAGGTGTACCCAATAAAGTGGCCAGTGAGTATATATTCAATAGTAAACGTGTGTTTGTGTAAATAATACAAATATTCAGTTATCCCATATATTTATTGTTAGATAATAACATCAGCAAGAATTAATAGATAATTTGATAATATGGAAGTTCTCTAAAAATAATTATCTTAAAATTTTTTTTGCAAGATTATTACATTGTTTAAAAACACTAATAGCAAATAACTGCAAAAATAATAAAAATATGAATATGTATATTAATATGCATGTTAAATATGACATACATTTATTGCTAAATAACTTTTCACTATTAAATGTATATGTGTGAATCTTTATGAAGATAAATGTATAATACAATTATAAAATATATTTAATGATAAATAAAAAATGACAGAAGCAACTCAATTTGTAAAGAATTAAAATTTTCATTAATATTTATTGGACGATTAGAATGCAGTGTCAGAGTGAAGTAATTAATATTCAAGAGCAGTTTCCACTGTATAGTGACATCACAAATCTCTCTTCTTTGGCCTGTTCAGTTGTTGTTGTTTTCATTTATTTTTTTGCTGGAATGTTTCAGGATGATGACACTGCATAGCCAGGTTTAACGTGTTGTTTTTGTTCTCTGATTTCTCTGCAGGTCTTCATTGCTGAATCACATGGCTAAAGAACATTCTTTCAGTATCGGCCTGCCAGACAACATCGTCTACTGTGATGAATTTCTCAACACACTCGAAAGCAAACTAGACAAGCAAGTCTTTACATTCTGCTATATTACTGCAAACCCCAATTATATATATATCTATTCAAAAATAAATCAATAAAATAGTCAACATTTGAAGTGCAATTCAACACTAAATTAAAAATTCATAAATGATCATACCATTATGACCAATATTGACTTCATTTCTATAAAAAAAATCTAAAAATAAAAAATGAATAATAAAGATGGAGAAGGTTTGAACGCTCTCTTTTGGTGCTTTCTGTTATTACACTAATCCCAGGTTGCCAGATAGATCGAGAACAGAGTAAATTCTAAAAACTGCTAATGCTGATGTACTTTTTATAGTCAAAAAAAAAAAAAAAAGATTTGTTTTTAGATTTGTTATAAGTGAATAAATCCACTAAAAAAATTATATTTATTTTTTTTATAATTTATATTTTTTAAATGTATAATATAATTAGATAAAACCTTTTTTGAGACCATTATCCAATACTTGTGTCTATACTATTTAGATGCAATTAGTGTTGTTTCCCTGGAAGCTTTAAGCCACAGGAAACCTATATCGCTGTGTATTTAAATATTCATTCATTAATTTTCCTGGTGGCTTAGTCCCTTTATTAATCCGGGGTCGCCACAGTGGAATGAACCGCCAACTTATCCAGCAAGTTTTTACGCAACGGATGCCCTTCCAGCCGCAAGCCATCTCTGGGAAACATCCTCACACACATTCACACACTCACTCATACACTATGGACAATACAGTCTACCCAATTCACCTGTACCGCATGTCTTTGGACTGTAGGGGAAACCGGAGCACCCAGAGGAAACCCACACAAAGGCAGGGAGAACATGCAAACTCCACACAAAAACGCCAACTGAGCCGAGGTTCGACCCAGCGACCTTATTGCTGTGAGGCGACAGCACTACCTACTGCGCCACTGCCTCGCCTGTATTTAAATATATTCAAATTATTTTTAAAGCAATATTTTATATTTTTATATGAATAAAATGTATAATTGTACCAAATATGGAACTTTTATTCCTAAAATGACTAAAATGTATTTATCTCATTTAGACCTGGGTTACGGTTATCTAATATAACATTTTTTGAGACTAACTGTTTTCAATAAGACTTTTTCTGATCTTTTTTTTTTTTTTGTAGCACATAGTTTTTTATAACTGAAAAAAAAAATGTTTGCTAACTTCAAAAAATAGCTAAAATAAAATATCTTTGTTTCATAAATATTTTTTATGTCAAGTAATGTTAAATGTTTATGATTTCAGTTGTGAAATGCCACAAATGCCAACTAGCTAAATATGAAGTAAACAATATTGTAAACATATAGAAATACAAGTGAAGCTTAAATTTCCTGATATTATTTCTCCCCAGCATGCAGTGTCTGTACTGTGAGAAAACATTCAGAGACAAAACCACACTGAAAGATCACATGAGGAAAAAGCAGCATCGCCGAATAAATGCCAGAAACCACGACTACGATCGATTCTACGTCATCAACTACCTGGTCTGTCCGTGCATCATTTTGAAGCATGAATCTATTATGTGTCAAAATATTATGTATTATTAGAATTTGTGTAATTTTATTTATGTATTTATTTTTATGTATGTATTATAAAAGTGTAATTATTCATTAATTATATTATATTTGTTTGTTTATTTATTTTATTTTATTAATAATATTATTTATTTATACTTTCATTTATTAAATTTTGCTTAAGAACTACCAAACAATATGTTTTAATGTATTATTATTATGATAATAAAGTCTCTTGTTCTATGATTGGGTTCTGATTCTAAAAAAAAAAAAAGATTTTTTTGTTAACGTTATTGTGTTGTTTTTCGTAATACAGGAGTTGGGAAAGACATGGGAGGAAGTGCAGTCTGAAGACGACCGAGAGATGCTTGAAGATGAAGATGAGTAAGACCTTTATATTTTAAATGTTCGTTTTCAGATAATGTAATAAATATCGATCATATTTTTCATTGTGCCCTGCAGTGATTGGTCTGATTGGCAGGCTCATCCGGTGTGCGCCGTGTGTTTGTTTTGTGATCAGCAAGCAGAGACCATGGACAAAATTTACACACACATGCAGGTACGTTTATTTGTTTTAAATTAATTTTAATATGTCAGTGCATGTTAAAATATATGTATATATATTTTACAATTATTTTCCATACTTTTTAACGTATCACTTAATTTTGTGGTATCCTTCCTGCACACGTTTCATGTACAGTACTTGCCATAGTAATACCAGTAAATTCTGCAAATTTACGTGCAACTAACCATTCATCTAACCTGCATTAAACCCTAACCATATTTGGTAATTAATTAATATTACTCATGAATAGTTAAAATGTGTGTAACTCCTTTTACATCAGCAGCAATAGTTATGTTTACATCCACATATTTTTATCAACATATTAGGAAACTGCATTTAAAAAAACCCAACAACTAATGTGTGGAAACACATTTACTGGCCAAGCTCTCTGACTTGGCAAACATTTCTCCCATGTGCTAAATAGGCTGTCTCAATTATTTTTGCTTTGTTTACTGTTGGTTACAAGGTTACCAATACTACAATCTGCAGGTTTAAAATTTTAAAAACTTGATGGAAACACACCTAATTCATATATATATATACTGTTAAACTCAGAATTATTAGCCCCCTGAATAAATTAGACTCCCTGTTTATTTTTCCCCCAATTTCTGTTTAACGGAGAGAAGATTTTTTCAACACATTTCTTAACACATTAGTTTTAATAACTCATTTCTAATAACTGATTTATTTTATCTTTACCACGATGACAGTAAATAATATTTGACTAAATATTTTTCAAGAAACTTCTATACAGCTTAAAGTGAAAGTTAAAGGCTTAACTAGGTTAATTAAGCTAGCTACGCAGGTTAGGGTATTTAGGCAAGGTATTGTATAATGACAGTTTGTTCTGTAGACTATCAAGAAAAAAACATATAGCTTAAAGGAGCTAATAATTGTGTCCTTAAAATGGTGTTTAAAAAATTAAAAACTGATTTTATTCTAGCTAAAATAAAACAAATAAGACTTTCTCCTAAAGAAAAAAATATTTTCAGACATACTGTGAAAATTTCCTTGTTCTGTTAAACATCATTTGGGAAATATTTTAAAGTAAAAAAAAAAAATCAAACCCTTTTTAATATTTTTAAAACCTTTTTTTTTTAAATATTTCCCAAATGATTCTAAAAATTCTGAATTCAACTGTGTATATATATATATAGGTGGGCATAGATTATATAGATTTTTAATGTAGATTAATCTCGGAATTAATCTAGATTAATCTACATTAAAAGGACTCATTTGAATTCTGGCGAAGGCATTCAGAATATGTGTGCAACCTAAATAATAAGTCTTTGAGAACAGGTTTCTCAAGCCTGGTGGTGCATTAGACCAAGGGCTTATCTCCTGTTTCCAAAATGCATCACAAACTGCTTGAGAAACTGATCTACTATGATAATTAGTGATGGAAAATAAAAGATGTTCAATAAGATTTACTTGTGTTCACTAACTGTTTATTCAGTTAAACATGAATTTTCAACTGTAGGCCTACATGAGCTCCAAACAACAAATTTTGTTGACCATCGCCATGCGTTATTATATTCTATAACACTCTCACCAGTCCTTACTCCTTATTTGCGTGGAATACCCCAGTTTGTCACGACGGCATGAATAAAATGTTCATGAGTTAAAGTGAAACTGCCACACTGCAGTTAAAGTCAGGCATACTGCTGATTTGATTCTGAAGGGCACTTTTTTGTCAGACAGCGCACACACACACACACACACACACACTTTTTATTTGGAAAAACTTTTAAAGATTCATTTCATGTTAGGATGGAAATCCAGGTACTTCAATATGCTTAAAGTGCAAGTCCTTGTTATGGAGGAAAAAGAGCTACAGTGGTTTTCATGGTTTTTTAAGGTTCATAGATTATTTTATTAATATTGTTGGTATTGAGTAACAGTTTTATTCTCTTGAACGTGAGATTTAAACCAAGATTTATTCACAATGTATTTGTACAAATACACACTATATGAAACCGTGTAAATAATAATAGCATGATTTCGTTCTTCTAGGAAACTCATGAATTTGATCTGCACAAACTCAAAATGGATTTAAGTGAGTATAATTGTAAAACTAACAAATTCTTGCTTCATGTGTCTTTTTTAAAATCTGATTTCTGTTGTTTGTCCAGGTCTGAAGTTTTACCAGCAGGTCAAACTAGTGAATTACATCCGTCGTGAGCTTCACCAGTGCCGCTGCTACTGCTGTCAGGAGAAGTTTGAAAGCAAAGAGGAACTAGTTCAACATCTGGTTACCGCTGGTCATGTAATGCAGTTACCTGACGTCTCACACTGGGATCAACCGCAGTAAGTGTTTTTTAAGAAATAAGAATATTGCCGCAAGCAGCAATTATCGTGGTTCAGGCACATAAGTACATGCATGTAAAAAAAAAAATAATTTATTACGCCCATAAACACTTCAAACTGTGATGAAATATGCAATTTTGAATTATCATAGAAAAACTGCATTTTTCAACAGGTTATAGCACCACCTGCTGGCTGATCTTTTTAAAACTTCAGGCTTCTGTAGAATCCAGTATGGCTATTAAATTTTTAGTAAATCTTTTAATCTATTTGGACAACCCCATTTTGAAAATGACCATTTATTCCTGTCTTAAATTGAAAGTGTTTTTTGCTAATTCTAAATCTCTTTAGTGCTGAGGTTTGTATAATGAATGAGTGAAAATCCTGGTTTGCAGAAGTAGTTTTTTAAGCCTAATATTTAACCAACAGTGACTGAAAGCAGGGGTCCGTTCTTCGTACTTCCCTTAATTGATCTAAGCTGATTTGGCAGATCCTGGATCTTTTAAACTTGATCACTGATTTCTCGCTAATTTGGTTCATCAAACAAGTTCGTGAATCAGATTAATGGATAAACTGATCTGAGATCGCTGCATGTGTTGTGATGGACAGATCTATCGATCCTCGAAATCATGATCAGCAATTCAGCGATTGGCTGACAGCACAGCAGCGTAATGACATCATCTTATTAATATTCAATTGTCCATGTGAGCAAAATTACATTAAATTAACAATAAACGGTTTGTTAAATATAACTTTCCACATTTGTTTTGAGTGGCAGGCTTTACACTTTCATGTTTCAAGAGTATTCATCATGTATTTCAATGCATATCAATGTATTTATATATTTAGAGAAGATTTTCTTTGTTATAGTAGCTGTTTTAAGTAAAGAAGTCGGTGTAAATAATAACTGGATGTTTACAAAAGCATTTTGATATTGGTAAAGGCATCTGCAACTTTTATGAAGCATCAAATCACCGTCATATTAACTTGCCTAACATGTTTATGACTGCATAAATGTATTATTGCTTTTAAAAAATCAAATATTGTGCATGTCAATTATCATACACAAATTGCACTAAAGCGATCTAAAAAGTTCATACCAATAAGTTTTCTCTTTGCACCACCAGGTGGCAGTCTTTGTACTTTCATTTCGGGGATGCAGATTGCATAAGTTTTATTAATATGTAACTTTTACTTATTTTATTAATAACTATAACTTTATATAGGTTTAAAAAATTTAGTATTTTCCCGAGTGTATATGACTACTACTGTAAGAAAATATCAGAATTCGGTACATACTTTCAGTATTATCTTTGCTTGAACTGAGCCGATCTAATCCTGTTTATATTAAATAAACCTGCTTCCGACCAGGTTTGAGCTAGCAGAACTGTTGCTATGACAACAGTTGTGACTATACAAGTGCTATGACAACAGCTATGACAACGTTTTGAAGAACGAAATGATCCTGGATCATGTCAAATCGTCAATAACCAAATCCAGCTAACTGAGTAATCCACGCAGGAAGAACAGACCCCTGATCTCTGGCTAATTTTGTTCTTTAAACAAGTTCGCGAATCAGATTAAAATGTCTGGATAAACTGATCTGAGCTCGCAGCGCGTGTTGTGAAGGACAGATCAATCGATCCTCGAAATCATGATCAGCAGTGCAACGATTGGCTGACGGCACAGCAGCGTAATAACATCATCTGATTAATATTTAGTTATCCGTGTGAGCTAAATTACATAAAATTAGCAATAAACGGTGTGTTAAATATGACAAGCAATAACTTTCCACGTTTGTTGTGAGCTGCAGGCTTTACATCTTCATGTGTCGAGTATTCATCAAATATTTGTATTTGTATTCATTGCATATAATTGTAGTTAGTTCTACATTTAGAGAAGATTTTCTTTATTGCTATTATTATTATTATTATTATTGTTATTATTATATATTCCAAATATAATCGTTTGTGTTAACCTGAACCAAGGAATAAATTTTTAGGTGTACTTTCCCTTTTAATTGGCTTAGGATTTCAGAATGAGAACCGGTTCTTATACAATAAAAATGTAAAGTGTTATTCACGTTTTGTTTTTCAGATACTACTTTCCTACATATGAGAACGATGCTCTTCTTACAGCTCTGTCGGACGGCGAGAGCGAATCAGAGGGTACAAATCACAGCTCTGAAGTTCCTGTTATAGCTGAAGATATCTCAAACCTCAAGGTGTTAAGACAGACCAGTGTGCTTAATAAACTTCTCAAAGACAGAGGAGCCACCAACTGAAGCTCAGAGACTTGCAGAGGTTCACTGACGTTAGAATTGCTTTCAGTGTAAAAACATGAATATGTTAAGATTAATGATGTGATTTTCACTCTGTTGAACTGGTGCCAGTGCTCACATTATGAAAATCATCTCAAATAAACCTTGTATTTCAAGAGTTCACACTTAGCTGATGATTGATTATAAGCAAGCTTGGCATGCTGTCCTGGGAGAGAGCCCTGAGCTCAAAGGTTCTTGAGCCCTGGGCTCCCTCCCGTTTGGAGGAAGAGAGGGGAGCCTTGAGCTCAGGTAGATCTCGACAACTCCCCCTTGATAAGAGCTGATGACTAAAAATTGAAGGCTATTAAAAAATATGCTGCATTATTAGATTACCTGTATTGCAAATTTAGATTTATCAATTTTCTTGTTGTGCATGTTTTTGGAATGTGGGGGGAAACCGGAGGACCCGGGGAAAACCCACGCAAGCAAGGGAAGAACATGCAAACTACATACAGAAACAACCACCAGCCTGTTAAAGGACTAGAACCGGTGACGTTCTTGCTGTGAGGCGACAGTGCTAGTCACTGGGCCACCGTGCTGCCCTATGGAGGGAAAGTTGAAGAGGTAGGGGTGGAAGGGGGGATTCTTCAAATCGAAGATGACTGTAGTGAAAAAACCCTGGCTCTTTATAGTGGGTTAGGAATGGCCTGATTGGTGGATCAAGCATGCTAATGCAGAACCAGCCGTGTTCAATCATAATCACGTGCTCCTCTCGAAATTAGTTTATGAATAAACTTCACTTATGTACACATTTTATCAGTGGACCATAATTGACAACTATTTTACATGGAATTAGTTGTGTTTGTTTTGAGTAGGGGTGTAATGAAACACCAGTGTCATGATTTGGTTCACGATACTGGAGAGACAGTTCTGATTGGTTCACATTATTGTAGCTATGGTTCAGTGTGGTTCACCATATTGAAGCCACCTCAGTGAGGTGTTGGAGCCACCATTAGGTTTAGTTCATGATATTTTAGTCTGTGTTCCACATGGTTCACTGTATTTTAGTCTTGGTTCTGTTTGGTTCATGATATTTTAGTCTGTTTTGTTTTGTTCACAGTATTGGAGCCACAATTCAGTGCCAACTTAAGGTTCTGTTCACAATATTTTAGTCTCTGTTCTATTTGGTTTATAGTATTTTACTCTTGGTTCTGTTCAGGGTTGCCAACTTGCAGACCTAGATTTAGTGACTTTTCAGACCCCTCTAGTGACAAATGTCCATACTGTCCCATCCCTACTCTTTTCAATAAACTGCGAGTGATGCTGTCGACCCCTCCTCTGCCTCAAAGCACTGACAGGCGGCCCAGTCCTCATACAGCAGTCTCTCCCACCTGCAGCCTGAGAGCAGATCTCTCCTCTGCATACAGACGGCAAATGATTTAGCACTGGCAGTGTGTGGTATTTTCATTGTACAGTCAAACCGATCTGCTTCTCCTTTATTTTAAACATTTAATTAGACTATTTATTCTTTTCTTGTTCACAATCAGATACTTTAGTGACAGTTTTGGAACTTGTCTGAGTTCATTACATCTGAGAGATTATGCAAAATCACTACACATCTATACTGATATACTGTATCAAAAAACAGCAATACATTTAGTTAAATTGACAAATATATAAAGCATAGTGCAAATATAAATACCCCTTTATTAACCATATGCTGTTAAACAAACAGAAACGGTAGAACGTGATGATGTCACTAATATGCAAATTGACATATGATGTAATCTAACAACTTTTAGGGACTTTTCGGCAGAGCTTAGCCCCTTTTCATTGAAAATAGTTGGCAACAGTGGTTCTGTTTGGTTCACTGTATTGAAGTCATGATTCGGTGAGGTTCACAGAGTTGTTGGAGCCAACTTTTAGGTTTGGTTCACGATATTTTTGTCTCGGTTCTGTTTGGTTTACAAAATTTTAGTCATTCCATTTGGTTCACAGCATTTTAGTCTTGGTCCCGTTTGGTTCATGATGTTTTATTCTCCGTTCTGTTTGGTTTACATTATTTTAGTCTTCGTTCCATTTGGTTCACAGTACTGGAGCCACTGTTCCTGCAGTTCTGTGAGGTGTTGGAGCCACTTTTAGGTTCGGGTTCATGATATTTTAGTTTTTGTTGTTTGGTTTACATTTGGTTCACAGCGTTTCAGTCGTGGTCCCGTTTGGTTCATGATATTTTAGTCTTAATTTTGTTTGGTTTGGTTTATAGCCACAGTTTGGTTCAGTTCACAGTATTTAAGCCTTGGTTTGGTTCATAGTACTGGAGCCACAGTTCTGTTCAGTTCCTGGTATTTGAGCCATGGTTCAGTTTGGTTTACAAGGGTACATTCCAAACAGGATATATCGCCCTCCGAAGGGTACTTAAAATAAAAAAATCTAAATGGGCCACTTTAAAGGGCCCGTTAGAAAGAAGTGAATTCTGGCCATGCTTTTTTGTGGAGGGAAGTTGTTTGCTGTCACAGACTTCACTTCATTCAGAAGGGCTCATCCTCACTTTCTAATACCTTCGGAGGGATCCTACAAAGTGATTAGGGCATGAGGATGAGCCCGTCCGAATGGAACCCAGAGTCAGTTTGGTTCAGTTCATGGTATTGGAGCCATGGTTCTTTTTAGTTCCTGGTTTTAGAGCCACAGTTTAGTACGGTTTGTGGAATAATAATAATAATAAAAATAATGCATTTTGCAGTTCAGTTTAGTTCAGCTCACAGTATTGAAGCCACTGTTTGATTCATTTTGAGGTGTTGGAGCCATGATACTATTTAATTCTGTTTGCTGTTGCACCAACAATGTTAAAGTACACTAGACTCACATTTCATTTAATTATCGCTTTTTATTTTCTGCTGTCAGTTTTGACAGAATAGATTTGACCTTATTCTATTAGGGTTGAATTTTGACACCAAGGTTGAAAAAAAATAACTGTTGCATACACAAGGTTGTAGTAAAAGAACTCTTTTATTCAGAACTCATTCTCATTCTTACACGTAATCACTGAAATCATCCCAGCGTCTCATTCAGTCTTTTCTTGGTCATTCGCAGGTCCTTTAAAAAGCTTTCAGACCTGTTCACACCAAAAATAACTATATTAAATTCCAAGTCAGACAACAATGTTCTTTTTATTGCAATGCAGCAGTGTGGTCTCCCATTTCACTAGCAAAATTCAGCTAGAAATGAGACCAGACTTGGGTAGTAATAATATATAAAACACTATTCTTGCAAAATTGATGAGGGGGAATATTTTGTCACGGTCATGTTGTTTTTTTGTTTTGTTTTCATGAAGTATTCAATGCACTTTTGTTATGTACTGTTAAAATGTGCAAGCTTTTTAATGCACGATTTATTTTGCTTGGCTGTCAATGTTTTAATTACAATAAATCGGTTGTCATATCGGTATCGGCCAATAAATGCACATTTTTAGTGTCATCATTTATGGCCAAATGAATAAGTTAGTTTTTAGACTTCAGATTTGTAAATTGGTAAAACATCGAGTTTTTCTTTTTTAATCAGGCTCTGAAACATGTTTATTTATTATCACCTTCAAAATCTTTTCTTTCTTATACATATATATATACACACACAAATAAATTTAAATCTATATTGTTTCTGTTGTTATCATAACTAAAGTGTGCACATAGTGTAAATTGCAGTGTATATTTTGTACCATATCGTTATAGTTCTCCTTGGTGTGAACAGCCCTTTTATAGAAACACATTCTAATCAAACCGTCAATAAATAAATATTGCATATTTCAATGAAAATCTTTTGGTGACTCACTTTAGAAAAGGCACTTCAGAATACGTTACCGCTAGTACAAACAACTCAAACATCCTTAGTTAAAAATGCTAGCGCAAACACACAATATTAAAAACGATTCAAAGTCAAAACGACCAAAGCGATATACAAAATAGTACAAATTTATAAAGGGCAGTAAAAAATCTTGTGCTGCATCAACAAGTAAATCAAAACCGACCAATAGAAATAGACTTTCTTTGTTTTTCAAAAAGACTAATCGAATGTCTGGGTTAATGTCTTGTGTTAAATGAACATTGTGTATAGACAGTAAATATAAGGCTGTGCTTTGTCTTGCGCAGTTGAAAAGAGGCACTGCGTTCAACTGTTCAGTGCAGGTATATTAATCAGTTACAGTTTAGAAAGCTCATAGAAAAGTTCTGGAAAACATGTTTAGACTGGCCGTGGAAGTAGTTTAAAGCTGTAACAGTGGGTGTGATGCTGTTAGGCTCATCAGTAACACAATATATGTGAATCTTGTAAGAAAAAAAAAAATCTCTAGGTCGTAATATCCAAAGGAAGTGACGATTTGGCATAAGTAGTAATAATTATTGTCATATTTGTTTACTAATGGGATATAATATTCACTTGAAATCAGTTTTTTACTTTGACCTTCATTTCAAATGTAGAAATGTCTTTGAAGCATATATTATATTATATTATACTATACTATATTATATTATATTATATTATAACCATAATGGCATAGATTTCTTACAAGAAAGTATATCATATTTTTTATTAGCATTATTAATTCCATAATCTATATACAAGACTATTATTACTAAAAGTAAAACAAATCACAATATGGTCATGCTAAAATGGGTTTCCTGGATGGCCGATGTCCTGCAGAGTTTAGCTCCAACTTGCTTCAATGCACCTGCCAGAAGCTTTGTAGAATACCTGGGCTGCGTCCGAAATTGCCTACTACCCAGTAGGTACTGCATTTACATTCAAACATACTACTCAGCTGTTAGAAAAGTACGTTCTATACAGTATGAATGTGAGTAGTATGAATGGAACTCGAACGTACTACATCCGCCATTTTTTTTACATCCGACTACTGTTTTTACATTTCTGTGATGGTTTGGGTAGGGGAAGACATTATTAAAATACAATAAATGGGAAATATAATAAATAATATCAATAATTCTTGTCGATTTCTGGCCGCAACCATATCTGATCTAACAACAAGCTCACTCCCATTCATGAAATTCTCTCGAGGTGCATCATGGTATAAGGTAGCATCCATCTGATGCGCACTTCAGAATCTTGCCGGAGGTCATCTTGGTACTTCTCACATACAGTTTTTCGAATTTTATGAATTCAGACATACTACTCGGCTAGCATACTGTTTTTAGCATACTATATAGTATAAAAGTATGCGATTTCAGACGCAGCTCTGGTGAAAAGCTTGATTAGTTGGTTCAGGCGTGTCCAATTATGGTTGTGAGTTCAAATCCGCAGGACACTGGTTCTCCAGGGCCAACTTTGGGCATCTTTGTGCTAAAACATTCAAAGAACATTATGATAATGACATTTTTTTTATTATGTAATGAAATCATTTTGAGCAGAGGTGTCAAATCCTGGAGGGCCACAGCCCTGCACAGTTTAGTTCCAACCCTGCTTCAACACATATGCCGAGGTCACACTAGAGTTTGAGCATGCGAAATTCACATTTAAAAAGGCAAGCGATTGGTCCATATTTTCAATTTCTGTCCAGAGAGGTCATGTTTTGATCTTCGATTGGTCTCACGCAGTCAAGTGTTGCAATTTAGCAGGTCAGAGTTTAGCAAACTCGAACTTTGTAACGCAAGGAACTGCAAAACATGTTGCATGAGCTTGCGATTCTTTTTTTTGCTAGATCAGATATGGCTGCAGCCGGAAGTTAACAAAAGTTATTTATTTTATTTTTTACATTTCCCTTTTATTGTATTTTATTAACGCCTAACGCCACTCCAACCCTAAGCCCAACGGTCACAGTAACGTTAAAACATTAGTTGTACCGAGTATTATTGATATGATCTATTAAATTACCCAATAAATTGTATTTTTAAAGTCTACCCCTATCCAACCATTCCAGTACTGGAAAACTATGAATTATTGTTATACAGTGTAAAAAAAAAATGTTGCTGCATTGATGTGCATATTGTACTTCCAGCTGGCCATGTATCCTATCTAGACTTAACCTGCGTTTCCAGTCTTACGCATTCATGTGCATATTAATGGAAGTCAATGGGGCAAAAAGTCCAGTGTGACCACGGCTTTACCTGTAGGTTTCAATCAAGCCTCAATGACTCAATTAATTTGATCAGGTGTGTTTAATCAAGGTTAAAGCTATACTGTGCAGAGCTGCAGCCTTCCAGGAACTGGATTTGACACCTGTGATTTAGAGTAACATTAAAGTAGATGGCATTTTTCATGATCTAATAAAAAAGAAATGATGTTTTCTATAATAATAAATGATTAGTTTTATACACAGCAGGAAAATGTATTGACAGCCTGAGCAATGCGTGTTAAAGAAGTCATTCCCAAAATAAGCCTTTTATACAAAGTAATAAACATTTCAGTAATTCAGTAACTTTCTCCTTGTGCAATCCCATTGTTGTTACCAATACATATATTTTGGGTTTTGTTTTTTTGTATATTTGGATTGCCTTGGTCAATTCGACATGAAATCTTGGTCAATTTCATGTCAACAGATCTACCAATATTTCCAGATTAACCAGGAAAAACGTGTACAATACTTTTTACCTGCTGTATGTTAAATATAGTATAACGTAATATCTAAAACTATTATCATATAATATGTAAATATAATATAATACAACATGTAAATATAATTTGTAAATGTAATGTAATATAATATCCTGATCCTCCAGGTTGGGGGTAACAACCCACCTCATAAAAAAACTAAATGTTAGGAAATGCCAATATGATGCGGCTAAACATCATCTTCACTATAAATGGCCCTGGGAGTAATTTAATTTAATAGTACTGTTCTCCCAAATATCGTTAATAAATAAAAACTATATATTTCTTTATGCAAAACATACTATTTTATAATAATCTAGGTGATTATGACCCAGAACCATTTTTTTTTCTCCACAAAACTCACCCTTATAGAGTGACGAAGAATCGCATTCTAGCAAGTTGGTCAGTTCTACGTATTTTTACCATCACAAAATAAACACACAAATATGGAGACACTTTTCACACCTGAGATTTTAGAAATTGCCACACTGGTCCACACAACCAACTTGTCCATACTCAGCCCTATCAGCTGCTTTTACAGTATCCTCACCATCCAGAACATTCTTCTATGATCTGACCAGCTTAAACCCTTGTCCTGTATCAAGCACAGCGGGTGGAAACCATGTGAGTTTGACCCTTCGTAGCAGCCGAACGCAGTATCCGCAAACCCAGAAGATATTCAACCCACCACACCAATGTGCCAGCTGAACCACAGGGTAAGTCAGACGTGGAAAATAGAGTCTCCAATGCCTGGTGACATCACTATCGGTGGGCAGATGAAGCTTATAGTCACTCCAGTGTCTGGAAATACCGTAAACCGCGCGAACTGACCGTCCGCGCTCCGAAAACCGAACTATACTGTCAGGGTTGCAGTTAAAATCAACCCATTGGGTGGTGAAGTCACCGAGTTGAGGAGCATCTTGGAGCTCTAGGTCTGTGGGACTGGACAGTTCGGCCCCTTGAACTGCGATGTAAAGACCCTCGATTTTCTGCACCTCCTTCGCCCAGGGCACAGAGTTATCAGTGTCCAGGATAATGATGAGGCGAGAGCAGAATCCAGCGTTCTTCTCTCTCCAAAGCTGAACAATCTCATCCAGACGCAACACATCTCCACCTGAATGGTGAGAAGACGACAAAGAGGACAGCTGTAAGGTATTATGACATCATCAATATTTGGCTGAATATTTATGTAAAGATATCCATTATACACTTTAATATTAGATTCATAACAACAGTAATATAATATAATTAATATAATATAATACGATAGGGCTGAACATGTTAAATGAATTCATTTAAAGTTTTTATTATTAATTTTGATAAATTTAAATACATAGAGACCGATAATAGGTTACAGGAGGAGTGGGGTGTTGAACAGTACTGGCCTCGCCATCATCACGTCTCAATCAATAACGACGTTTGAAAAGGGCCTAATGCTGGATTCACACCAAACATGGAGCATTGTCACCAGGGCTTTACATTAACACCCACCAACCCGCCAAATGCGGGTAGATTTCGGCGGCTGTTTATAACGCTTGCGCACTCCCGTTTCCTTTTGTGAAGCAACTGTGTCTAGAAACACAACTAATGCGATCGATTCTCTTTCAAATAGACTGAACAAAAAGGGAGGGACATGCACCTACAGGCTACAGTCTTGCTGCTTTCCAGAGTTGTCTTATTGTAAGCAGCGCCAGTTGCGTTGGGTTAACCATTCTTTGAAAAGATAATTTGTGGGTCTATCATAAACCATGCGTGTGATGATCATCCTTTCATTATCACACAGTATGTTTTTACCTGCTTTCTTTTGCATTAATATGGTTGAATTATCTTTTTTTTACAATAACATTGCTTTAATGGGAGAATAACTCCCCATTTATGTGTAGTTAACTGGTGATCTGGGACCTTTAGCCAGGACACTGTGCACACACAAAAAGGGAAATGAATGAGGAGGTATGTAGAGATAACGCAAACTCTAAATCAAGCTATTTTAGCATGTCAAAGTCATATTTATGTGTATAAAAGATATTTTCTCAACAATAAAATTGTGGCTAGTGAAAATGGCGAGTGGCTAGTAATGTTGGAAAACTACTAGCCACATTGGCTGGTGGTCAAAAAAGTTAATGTTAAGCCCTGATTGTCACTATGCCTAGCTTACTTGCAGGATGTTTCTCACTTCATGCTAATTTCCAACTCAAGTTGAATTACTTGAACTTGCACAAAAAACACAACTGACACAATTAGCGTTCACGGCTAATTATTGATTGAGTTTGTAATTAATCTACTTGCATGATTACTTCATTTTGCTTTTGGAGTGATCAGCTTATTATAATAAGTAGGAGTGTAACGGATAACGGTTGATCCATGATCTGTACGGATCACAACTGAGTTCGGAACGCACGTGACCAGACGGAAGCCACTCCTCGCTTGGAATTTGCCAAAAGAAATCTGAAGGACTCTCAGTCCATAAGAAACTAAATTTTCTGGTCTGATAAGACTAAAAGGGAACTCTTTGGAGTGAATGTCAGGCATTACATTTGGAGAAAACCAGGCACCGCTCATCACCAGGTTAATACCATCTCTACAGTGAAGCATGATGGTGGCAGCATGCTGTGGGGATGTTTTTCAGCAGCAGGAACTGGAGGACTAGTCAGGATAAAGGGAAAGATGAATGCAGCAATGTACAGAGACATCCTGAATGAAAACATGCTTAAGAATGCTCTTCTGACCTCATACTGGGTCGATGGTTCATCTTCCAGCAGGACAATGACCCAAAGCACACCGCCAAAATATCAATGGAGTGGCTTCACAACAACTCTGTGAATGTCCATGAGTGGCCCAGCCAGAGCCCAGATCTAAATCCTATTGAACATCTATAGAGAGATTTGAAAATAGTTGTACACTGTCGCTTCCCATCTAACCTGATAAAGCTTGAGAGGTACTGCAATGAGGAATGGGCAAAAATTCAGGTGTGCCAAGCTTGTGGCATCAAATTCAAAAAGACTTGAGGCTGTAATTGCTGCCAAAGATGCATCAACAAAATATTGAGCAAAGACTGTGAATACTTACTGTATGTACATGTGATTTTTCAGCTTTTCTATTTTTAATAAATTTGCAACAATTTAAAAAAATTGTCATTATGGTGGGGTATGGTGTGTAGAATTTTAAATAAATAAATAAATTTAATCTATTTTGGAATAAGGCTGTAACAATAAAAAAAAATTTAGAAAAAGTGAATTGCTATAAATACTTTCCGAATGCTTTCTACATTTAATTTGGTTACATTAATGCTAAGATTTACAAGATATTTTTAACTGTTAATAAGCAAAGGAAGAACTGCTACAAATAAACACCTTGTTTAAAGTGTTATTGCACTTTTTGATATGTACCTCAACTTTTCAGTAAAGTGTGCAATACGCTTCTTCTGAATTCATCGTTAAATGTTGAGTATTAGAATGGGATAATTCACAGAAAAAAATATGCAATTATTGTTTTTTTTAGCTAATCATTAAATTATTATTTCCAGTTTTTTCTGAATTATTAACATTTCCTGGGTTTTACATTTAAAATGCTGGTTTTAAATTTACACAGCTGGTGCAAACCTACCCAGTAAGTCTTTGATCTAAAGTGACTATAAACACAAGACTATTGACTATACTATCAAAGATGCATGCTTGATTTTCAATGGTCTAAATTAGATTTGACTTTACCAATTAAATTCCCTTTTTTTATTCTTCATTTTTTATGTGAAGCCTGAACTGTTTTTTCACCGACCAATGTTCTGTTTCTACATAGGAGGAAAAAAAGTGTTGCAATGATTCTCCCACCTGCGAGTGCCCACTCTCCACTGCGGTGTGTGTGTCCACTGTAATAGAGCACGTAGGTGTCGTGTCGTGGGCCGTCAGTTGTATGCGCCTCCATGAATATGCGCAGTTTGGCCTGCAGGGCCTCCAGACTCAAGCCGCTCGTGGAGTAATCGCAACCGTAGGTCTCGATCATGTGATGAGAGAAGAAGCGCTGCACGTTGTTGAGCATCCCAGTGGAACGCAGGTTGAGCTCTTGAACATGAGCCGGGGGAAGCAGGGTGGGCTGACCGTCTGGACTGAGAGAAAACCAGAGCATGAGCTAAAATACGAAACCAAGCACCACCGAAAAACATGACAGATTTTGCATTCACTTTTACAAAAAGACTGTGTGGATAACATTTTCAGTTCCAGTTCATATTAAGCGGCCTTAAATACTATGCACTTACATCAAAATATAAATACAATGTACTTAATATATTGCAGAACAATTCTCAATTTGTGGTATACTGTAGGTAGGTTAAAGCATGGGTTAAGGTGTAAAGGATAGGGTAATTATAAATGTAATTAGAGAAATTAATTGCATGTGTAATTACATGCAGGTATTTAATCCAGCACAAGCATAATGTAATATATCTACATAAAATATCTATTTACACAATAAGTACACTTTAAAGGATTATTAATTTAAAGTGCAAGTGCATTTTCGTTAAGGCCACTTGATATAAAATGGGACCAGACTTTCATACTAGGTTGGCTTTAATTGAATGATCTAAATACGATTAATAGCCCTAGTTTTCCTTGTACAACCCTAGAAGCAATCGATACAGACATTTTTAAAATGTCCATTTCCTGCTAAAATTCGAGCACTGATAGATGTACCTGGTTTTAAAAAACTTTTTCAATTATCTTTGAATAAAACAGGGGCACTCATCCAGCTCATCTAGATTCATTATATTTTGGCCTCCATCATGCTAAAAATGAACGAGTTTTTATTAGAATTGTTTCAAAAGTAGCACAAATATCAAACTTTATGTTTGCACTATTTACAGTTTTATGCAAAAAATTGGGCACCCCTCTGTGGCTGCATAATATCACATTTTTTCCTTGTAAGAGAAGATCACAGTGAAATGTCATTTGGTTTCTAGAAAAAAGCAAGATAACGTCATGTTTTTCAGACAGAAATCCATAGTTTAGCAGTATTAAGATGTGTGAAATTAAACTGAAACTGCAAATAGGCTATGCAAAAGTTCGGGCACCCTCTCTTTTGTGTAGATTTCAAAACCTGTAGTCACTTAATGCTTTTTGATTACAACAGAAAATTGATTCAAGTGACTCAGTGAACTTTAACAATGACAACACAGGTGAAACCATGAAAACAGGTGAAACCATCATAAAACAGTATATTTAAGCTGATTTCTAGTTGTGCATGTTATTGTGACCTGAAAGTAGCAACATGGGAACCTCAAAAGAACTGCCTAATGACCTAAAAACTAGGATAATTCATCAACATAAATTAGGACAAGGATGCAAAAAGCAATCCCAAAACTTTAAAGTCTCTATGTCCACAGTCAGAAATATAGTTAGAAAATGGAAGGCCACAGGAACAGTTCCTGTGAAAGATGTGCAAAATAAAAGTATAAAAATAAAATATCTGAAAGGCAACGGCGAAGAATGGTTTGTCTCTGATCATTCTAACTATAGACCACCTCCAAAAAGCTCCAGGAACATCTTGCTGCTAAATAATGGCATTGTACATCGCTCTACAGTCTAGCGCACTCTTCACAAAGAACAGCTCAATGGAAGGTGATGCAGAAGAAGACTTTTCTGCATTTTGCCAAAATAAAAGTCAATAATAGTCATGAATTTGCTCTTCAGTGTTTGGACTCTCAATAATGACTTCAAACCACACTGAACTGAGCTAAACTGAACTGAACTTAAACACTAAAAACTGAACTACCCTGATCCAGTTACTATGACCATTTATGTGAAGTTGAATTGACACAATCTACATTGTAAAAGCGCTATACAAATAAAGCTGAATTGAATTGAATTTGAGGTATGCAAAGGCTCATCTAGACAAGCCTGAACCATTTTGGAAAAATATACTGTGGACAGATGCCACAACCACAGGTGCTTTGTTTTCCGTGGTGGAAAAAAAAATAAAAATAAATAAATAAATAAAAATCACAGCATTCCAGAAGAAGAACCTGCTCCCTATTGTAAAATAGGGTTGAGGGTGCATCATGCCCACCAGATGACAAAACTTAACGTAGCACTGGGTTGCACCACGTTTAAAATACTAAACCGTTTTCTATTTGTTATTGGGCACCACATTATGCATTTTCTCCCATTTTATGTGGCTTTATTGTAGACCACTTGTTCTCTGAACTTGAGTACCCATGGATTAAAACAATAAATACAGCTTTAAATAATTTGTTGACAGCTTTAAAAGAAGAAGAAAAAAAAAAACGGTGATTCCTGCTTCCGTTTTTCTTTTGTATGAGGTTTCTATAATGGTTGGATAATGAAACTGAAACACTAGCCAATTTATTTTTGATGTTTCATGGCTAAATCTGACAAGCATGGTGACCAATCTTCATTTTTTGCGTATTTCACTAGAAAAAGCAGTGTGAAGGTTTAATTAGCAGAGTAATAATATAGTTTTGCTTAAAATATAAAAGAGGACAAATTGCTAGTGCGGGTCTCGTTGGCGCATCTGTGACCAAGACAGCAAGTCTTTGTGATTTATGAAGAGCCACGGTATTAAGGTAATGTCAGCATACAAACCACATCCAACAGGAGTAACAGTGGACACAAGAGAAAGCTGTCTGAAAGGGATGTCCGAGTGCTTAATTTTGTCATGATTGTAATCATGATTATTCAAAACGATTATCAGTTAAAGTCAAAATTATTCGCCCTCTTGTGAATTATTTTTTTAAATATATTTTTTCCAAATTATGTTTAACAGAGAAATTTTTCACAGTATTTCCTATAATATTTTTTTCTTCAGGAGAAAGGCTAGAATTTCGGCTAGAATAAAAGCATTTTTTAATATTTTGAAACCTATTTTAACGTCAACATTATTAGCCCCTTTAAACAATATATATTTTTGATTGTCTGAAGAAACTACTGTTATACAATTACTTGCCTAATTACACTAATTAAGCCTTTAAGACTTTCATCATAGCAAATATAAAAGAAATCAGTTATAAGAAATGAGTTATTAAATTTGTTAAGTTTAAACTGTGCTTTAAGCATCTTCAAAGTGAGAAAAAAAACTTTAGCTACAAAAGTCCTTCAGTCAAGTGCAGTGAGGGATTGTCTCCTTTTGTTGTTTGATTAATAATAAAAACAGGCAGCAGCAAAATTGAGCACTGTCACTTTAAGAATAGTGTGGCTCTGATATGGTTTCTCTTTCACGTGTCTTTTGATTCTCAACTTCTTTGTTTTATTACACAAATGAGGGTTAATATAAATAATCACTAAACGCCGCGCTCTGACACAAATTTGCATGTATTTGAGCACTAAATCGCTCGCATTAAGATGGCGTTAGATGTGTGCTCTGCTCGTCTCCGAGCCTGTCCGTCCCAGGCTGAGCGTGCGCGCACACACACACATATATGAATGATTCGAACATACATCAATAAATGATGCGCATCCCGTGCTGCAAACCTTACATAACAGTACATGCTTTTAGTCATTTTCACGTGGAACTGAGCTTTGCAGAGCAACAAATGTGTACAACTGGAAATCGGGCGGTATATGATGCAATAATCGTTTATCTTGATTGATGGTTTTTCATAATCGTTAGAAGCCAAAATCGAAACCGAAACCGGATTTTCGATTAATTGCACAGCCCTAATGGGTGCATCACTGCCAAGGACTACTGAACCCATTCTGGAGGACCACGTGCACGCAATGGTCTAAATAATGTATCCTGAACACGGTGTAGTGTATCAGGATGATAATGCACCGATACACACAGCAAGACTTTAGACAGAGTGGTTTGATGAAAGTGAAGTTGAAGATCTCCCATGGCCTGCACAATCACCAGATCTAAATGTTGTTAAGCCACCAAAGGGTGTTTTGAAGGAGCGAGTCAGGAAACATTTTCCTCCACTAGAATTACGTAGTGACCTGGCCGCTACTCTGCATGAAGAATGGCTCAACGTCCCTCTGGCCATTGTGCATCTGTGTATCTGTCATTCTCAATATGAATTGATGCTGTATTGGCTGTAAAAGAAGGCCCTATACCATAGTAATAAATAATAGTGGGCTAAAGCCAGGCATTTCAGTTTCACTGTCCAACCCCTGTATTTATGAAGCCTATTTTCACATTCCTAAAAAAATTAATCGATTTGACTTAATATTAACTTTAAAAATTAACAAAAAAAAAAAAAAAGAAAGAAAGAAATTTACAAGAATTTTATTAGCATGTTAAAACAAATCACTAATCATAACTGGCCATGAAAAATAATCAAGATCAGCGCATAGTAGGCTATTAAAAAAAAAAAAAAAACTGCAGGCAGGTAGGTCATGTGATTATGACAACATGGCAGATGCAGTATGTCCGAATTCTATTCATATTATATAAAACATATGTTCAAATGCACATGCAATTCCTACTCACAGTATATAAAGTAAGTAAACTCAGGCACACTGTGAGTGTATATGCATCTAGTACCTGCAATAGTTAGTAGGAATCACCACAGCATAGCCGATACATGTTCCACCAAGACTGTTTCCCAGCTCAAGGAAGAGCCCGTGGGCTAAAGACTCAAGAGACAGGACCAGCAGAAACAAGGAGATGAACAGACTGTTGGACGACTGAAGGAGAAAACAATATTTTTATGAACAACAAAGAAAACCTTCAATAATCAGAATGCAAACCACTTAGACAAAGCAATATAAATATATATATTTTTAAAAACGGGTTGAAGAATTTGTCAAAATTTGTCACAATTTTATTTAAAAAACACTTAACGTACATTTTTGGGATCATATTTTTTTTAAGAATTATATTATTCCCCTCTGAATTATACATGGGGGGACTACATATTATAGTGATTTCTGAAAGATCATTCAACACTGAATGAAGTCAGGAAAGCTAAAAATGCAGCTTTACCAGTATACCAATTAATTCGATTTTATAATACATTTACATAGAAAATAGTATTCGAATGTTATTCTAATGTTAACCCATTTTACAGTATTATTTCATTATATAAATTTTAAAAAGTATTGGTGGAAAAAAAAGTCATTAATAAATCCTTAAAATAGCTTATTTTAAAACATAGGCTATTGCATATCAAAAAAGAATTTATAAAGGCGCATGCTATAATAATAATAATTCCCATAATAGTTAAGCTTTGTTAAAATACAAAATATGGGTTAAAGACTGAAAAAATATTGGTGATATATTACTCTTTCATAAACATGGTACTAGCAAATTGCAAAGCATAGAGATTTAAAATGAGTCAGCCTAATTAGCACTTGGGGATACAAGGTGATCCTTAAATAGAGTTTGTCGTTAAATTATGCCAAACAAGGCAAAAAAAAATTAATAAAATTGGCAAAATTTTCTGCAAAGTCATGAGGTAAAACCAACATGCAGCGGAAAAAATTAAAAAGACATCATGCAATGCAACCTTGTAGGCTCATGTCTGTAGTTTCACCTTTTCATGACTTCCAAAAACAAATGTATATTTGTGAATGCTTTTTAATAATAATAATAATCAATATAATAATCTTAAAGATCATAAAGATTTTTTACAACCACACAAAATCAACATGAATATAAAACCATTACACATATAAATAGAGCTGTGCAATATGACAATATAATGGCATATGGACAAAATAAAGTTTATTGTTTCATATTTTAATTATCATTTTTTTTGTGGTGTCCCAAATATGGTAATATTTTTTATAATTTATACGAGCACAATACTATATGTCATTATGTAAATGCAGGTGACAAGGTGGCTCAGTAATTAGCACTGTCGCTTCACAGCAAGAAAGTCGCTGGTTCGAGTCCCGGCTGGGTCAGTTGGCATTTCTGTGTGGGGTCTGCATGTTCTCCCAGTATTTGCGTGGGTTTCTTCCGGATGCTCTGTTTTCCCCCACAGCCCAAAGCATGAGCTATAGAAGAATTGAATAAACTGAATCGGTGTGTAAAATAAGTGTGTATGGATGATTCCTATACAGTATAATACTGGGTTGCAGCTGGAAGGATATCTGCTGTGTAAAACATGTGCTAGATAAGTTGGCGGTTCATTTCACTGTGGCAACCCCTGATGAATAAAGGGACTAAGCCGAAAGAAAATGAATAAATGAATTATGTAAATGCAGACAGAAACATTGTGAGAAAGTTACACTCGTGACAGTACGATATTTACATTTTGCATTTTATGTAGCAATAATTTTAATTTTTACATTCGACCAATCATTACTTTTTGAAAATTAATATTTAATTTAGATATTTACATTTTTAATCAAACATTTGCTCTGAAGTCCTAAATAAACTGGAAAACATGATCACATTTGAATACATTTTAGAGTGCATATATTACATGTAAAAAATAAAATAGCCCTTTACATGTGGTCAACATGCATAGATATATCATCACATTAAGGTTCTATCTGACTTTTCTGTTAAAACTGAATTATTTTCATATTTAATTTGTTGACATATTAAATGACAACTTATTTACATTGTGTTGTTGTTTTTTCTACATTTTAAGACTTTACATTTAAAAAACAAAAAAGGTTTTATCTACATAGTCAAACTCTAGCTCGGCTCTATATGGTTCTTTATGTGAGCCATTCCGAATGCACGTTCGAGGAGCAATCAGGATCAGCTTTTCATCATTTCAATGGACTGCTCCATTGTTAAAAAAATAGTAATAAATTAAATGTGAAATATTGTTATTTGCCCGTATATAATTTCAGTGTTTATTTAGCTTTGTTAAACAACTCATTTGCTCATTGTCTGTTTTCTTTTTAAAGTCTTTAAATTTGATATTAAGCCTTAATGGGCAAACAATTAATATACTTAATGGGGTATTAAATTACCACAATAAGTATTACCATAATAATTACATGAAACTTACATCTACACTGGACAAAATAATTAGCACAACCCTGTATGCTTAATTTGAACAAGGAAAAATATTCATCCTAAAACATTAAATAAATATAGATAGCAAAAACTGAACTCTCAAGCATTAACATATTGTTACAACACTTATTTTTATTTTTATTAAATTAATAAGCAGATTGATTGTATTTGTTGAAAAGTAATGCTTCAATTAATGATCTGCCAAATAGAACCTTTTAATTCCAAGTGGAAAATGACTTTTTAGAATGAGAAGGTTCCATCTGCATTTGTCCTGTTTGTTTACCCCAATTTGCAAATTTAACAGAATTTTAATAATTTACATTTACACTACATTTAGCGTCTGTCATGTTAATGCAAGTAAGACAACTGTTACACACATATTGTCTGCCATGGAATGCAAAAACTTTGAAGCTCAATATCTCAAAATCATTTAGAATGCCGAAAGAACCTTCTAATTCCAAGGTGAAGATATATACACACACTAGTACTGATTGAATTTACAGAAATGGTATAATATCATTACACACACACACACACACACACACACACACACACACACACACACACACACACACACACACACACACACAGTATAGTTATCAGAATATTAGATGACTTGTATTGTGATATGAGATTTTCATCATATTGCCCAGCCCTACATATTAATACATTTTTGAATGATTTTCACGGAAACTATTTTTACCTGCCAACCCAGAGCTCCGAGTATGACTGTGGACACCAGGCTGAAGAGCACCAGGCGTTTTGATATGAGACAGAAGTGCCGCATTCCTTTAGATGCCATGATCCGGTCCAGTTCTCCAGGCTCAGACATGTGCACAGTACACAATCTCTGACAGTCACTCAGCTTACTGTGAAAACCCCAGACCGTGACGAGGAAAACCAGATGACAGATGATCCAGAAAACAGCAGATGCTGAAAGACTCGGGATGAGCAGGTACCACCGATCCAGATCTCTCATCTTCAGAGAAGCCATGACAAGAAACGTCACCTCCACAACCAGCAACGGCAGAAGCGTGAAGCGTCTCCACAGGCCTCTTCTCAAGAGGAGCGGAGACCAACGTTCAGTTACTGAAAGTCCGCTAAAGTAGATGTCTAGGAATGGGTCACAGACGAGACGACTGAAAAAACAAGACAATGCGAAGGGGTTGGTGGACACCCCTAAAGACTCCTGGAAGAAGAGCGCAGCGACTCCTGAAAAGCAGGCCAGGTTTGGTAGAGCCAAGAGAGACTTCATGCGCAAGACCACGATTAGAGCAGCTAAAGCGAGTGTTAGAACTATGAGGCTTATGGATTTGTAGCTGACCAAGGTGCTAGCCACAGCAAAACCTGTGAGCTCCAAAGCTTCCCTTGAGGTAAGGAACGCGGGTTGATGTCTAGTACAACCACACATTCTTTCAACCAAAGCCCAAAGGATTCTGATAGCAACGCTCGCTGTTAACATATAGTTAGCCACTTGCTCCTTAATATCGAGCTCTTTGGATGGGACATTGATGAAGCATAGCAAACCCAGAAGGAAACCAAACCAAAGATGTAACAGAAACAGGCTAACTTTCTCCATAGCGAAATAGTAGTGGAGTATGCAGGCAACCCCAAGAACGAAGAGGCCCAAAATAAAAATGACTAAAATGATAGTGTCGGCGGTTTTCTCCCATTGTACATACAGTCCCAGGCAAATGGCCACCAGGGAGTTCAAGCTGGACAGGTAACCGAGGTATCGAACTGATGACCACATATTGAGCCCTCTGTTGGCTTCATCCAGCCATGTCATGGCAGCATACAGAAAGTGGCTAAAACAATATTTGAGAAGTTTGCACATTGTTGCAAAGATAAAACTCGCACAATAGCTGAAAATATGCGGATTTAGCGTCGCGAGTGACGTCAAAAGTCCGAAAAAATTATTCACGGCAAAACAAGTCGGCAAAATTAAAGTAAAAACAACTTAGTGGATTTTAGGGGTACTTAAAACTACATCGTTTCCTGGGGTATTATAATACAAAAGTTGAAGTAAAATATGGAGTGAAACGGTAGATTGTCATCTCAATATCCACCTGTTACTGCTGAATGAACGAAACTATTCGACTCAAGGTCATGTTATAACAGCTGAAATTAATACGCAAACTAGATGTGAAAATGTTAAACTCATCATAAGTTGTGAGATAGAAGCACAAACAGAGTTGTAATGAGCTGTCAGTCTGATTTAGAGGAGCGGATTGCTGTGCGTTTACCGGCATTAGAAAGTTGAAAGAATGTGTTGTTTCTCTTCACGACGAGCGTAACATCGATTAAAACGGGCTGTATGAAATACGTTAGAAGAAACGCAAGTCATTGAAGATTGTCTTTCACAGCAAAATACGGAAAACTGCTCATTTATCGCACAACAACTCCGAACCACGGTCTAAACTTCGCTCAGCGTCCGCCATGTTTGCACTGTTTTAAGCCGCTACGGAATCCCTGAAAGGACAAATAAAACGCGTCCATCAGTCCCTCAGTGAGTAAAAAGAGTGAGTAAAATAAAGGGCCAGACGGAATCTGCAGACATTTTTTTTTGCTATTTCTGCGCAGAATTGTGTTAAAAATCTGCGGATTTATGAGGAATTATTTTGGGGGTATCATAACTAAAACCTTAATATATGAAATAAAAAAATAATACCTCTTTTTTAACTTTTATTTAATGTTTACAATGCAAATCCAACTAGATCCACCTTATTTGGTAAACAAAACAAGTCTCTCATATAATAGATCTATTACAAGACAGAAAATATTACTTTACAAACTGTATTTAACTAAATCATATAAATATTTTTTATATTAGTCAATATTGTAATTAATTTAAAAACTGAATAAATCTTAATTTACACACATTAACACAAATAAATAAACAGAATCAATGATGGGCTAAAAATCTGCGTAATTCTGCGCACGCAGATCCGTGTGGGCCTAAAGCAGGGTCATTATCACTATAAAGTGCCTTTGATGTCCCACAAGATTGAATCAGCCCTATATTAAACACAATGCGAAATAATGAAATTCTGATGTTTTAAAATATTTGGTTAAACCTTTACGCACATGCAGGTAGAATTATAAGTGTTTTCAAATATGTTTTGCTCAATTATTGCCTTTCATTAAATGTATGTGATTTTGCCATGTCCCACACACAGCTCAGCCAACTTCAGTGTGTCTAAAAAGTAGGTAAATCAGATTTTTCAAATTTTACATGTTCACTTTTTTTCTCATATTGTGTTTGAAACGGAATGTTGTCAAGCCCAACATGTCCACCCGGTCAATGTGAAATTAAATATTAATTAATATTTTTAAAAAATTAGAAATAAAAAATATAGCTTTTAAACTGTATATAAAGAGCTTAAATAGGGAAACACTTTGCCAGCTGCAGGTGCAACCTCTGTTGAATAAATGCTATCTTTAGCCAAAAATGTCCTCACTGTCATTGTCCACCCTGTCACAAATCCTTCCTTGACAGGGTGGACGTATATGCAATGCTAGTGACACTTTATTATTTAGCATTTTATTGGTAATTAGTTAATGTTTTTATGTTGCAACACTCATACACACATTTACGACAATAGTAGATGCATGAGTGGACAATACAAACCTTTTAACAATATCTGTCTCAGTCTATATAAGGAGAAAAGTCCATATAATGGAGCTCATTGACTGTTTGAAATAAAAATACAGCCCTAAGTAGTTGTACATTTATGTGAACTGTTATCTGTAATCTAATTATTTGCCTTATTCTGAACTAAACAAAGCAGTATTATTAAGGAGTTTAACGCGAGTTGCTTCCAACATTCCTTTCACTCCTTCTATACACTGTACAGTGTAAAGTTTTACATTTATTAGCAAATTTAATTTGAAGGACAATGATTGTTTATTGTCCAATTAATTATCATATTTATAAAACCTAATTGATAACAGAAGAGGCGGCAAGGTGGCTCAGTGGTTCGCAGTGTTGACTTCTTGAAAATTTTTACAATTCTTTTTATAATAACCCTGTAATATTTCTTGTTGTACCTGTTGTTTTTTAAAAGTTCTTCCATATTTAGTTCACTAAATAAAGCCTCAGTCCACCCTGTCATCTTGTTTTCCACCGTCATGGTCAACTTTTATAAAAATAAACAAATTATTTATAACCTCAGAAAAACATCTTGTGTGATTTCTTAAATTATCAGTAAGGGCCAGTTAATACTGTTTGAAAGTTTGGGCAAAATATTTTAGATTTTGGGTTTTGCAACGATTGCATATTTTATTGGGAAATAAATGCTTTGTCCATTATTTCATTAACATAAATAGACTTTTCCATTATCTAAAATGTTGGGTTGATAAAGAGACACATTACCTTTCTGAAAATATAGCCTATGGTTGAAGTCAGAATTATTAGCCCCCCTTTGATTTTTTTTTCTTTTTAAAATATTTCCTAAATGATGTTTAAGAGAGCAATGAAATTTTTACTGTATGTCTGTTTTTTTTTTCTTCTTCTGGATAAAGTCTTATTTGCTTTATTTTTGGCTAGAATAAAAGCAGTTTATCATTCATTCATTCATCTTCTGCTGCTTTTCCGGGGCCGGGTCGCGGGGGCAGCAGTCTTAGGAGAGAACCCCAGACTTCCCTATCCCCAGACACTTCCTCCAGCTCCTCCGGGGCAAACCCCGAGGCGTTCCCAGGCCAGCCGAGAGACATAGTCCCTCCAGCGTGTCCTGGGTTTTCTCCGAGGCCGCCTCCCGGTGGGACATGCCTGGAACACCTCCCTAGGTGGGCGTCCAGGAGGCATCCGAAACAGATGCCCGAGCCACCTCAGCTGACTTCTCTCGATGTGGAGGAGCAGCGACTCTACTCCGAGCTCCTCAGAGCTGAGTCAGAGGTGTCAGAGCTCCTCACCCTATCCATAAGAGTGCGCCCTGCCACCCTTTGAAGGAAACTCTTTCTGCCGCTTGTATCCGAGATCTTGTCCTTTCGGTCATGATCCAAAGGTGAGAGTAGGAACGTAGATTGACCGGTAAATCGAGAGCTTTGCCTTTCGGCTCAGCTCCTTTACCACATCGGACCGGTACATCGACCGCATTACTGCTGCCGCTGCACCAATCTGCCTGTCAACCACACGTTCCATCCTTCCCTCACTCGTGAACAAAAGCCCGAGGTACTTAAACTCTTCCACCTGGGGTAAGGACTCTCCTCCAACCTGGAAATGGCAAACCACCTTTTTCCGGTGGAGCACCATGGCCTCGGACTTAGAGTTGCCGATTCTCATCCCAGCAGCGTCACACTCGGCAGCAAACCACCCCAGTGCATGCTTAAGGTCCATGTCTGATGAAGCCAACAGAACAACATCATCTGCGAATAACAGAGATGAAATCCTGTGTTCCCCAAACCGGACCCCCTCCAGCCCAAGGCTGCGCCTTGAAATTCTGTCCGTAAAAATTATGAATAGAATTGTGACAAGGGGCAGCCCTGCCGGAGTCCAACATGCACTGGAAACAAATCTGACTTATTGCCGTCAATGCAAACCAAACTCCTACTCTGTTCATACAGGGACGAGACGGCCCTCAACAGATTGCCTCTTACCCCATACTCCCCGAGCACCCTCCACAGAATGCCGCGACTAAAAGCAGTTTGAAAAAAAACATGTTAAGGTTAAAATTATTAGCCCCTTTAAACTATATTTAATTTAGTCTACAGAACAAACCATTTTTATACATTAACTTGCCTAATTACCCTAACCAATTTTATTAACCTAGTTAAGCCTTTAATGTCACTTTAAGCTGTATAGAAGTGTCTTGAAAAATATCTAGTCAAATGTTATTTATTGTCATCATGGCAAAGATAAAACAAATCAGTTGTTAAACTATTATGTTGAGAGATGTGTTGAAAAAAAATCTTCTCTCCAATAAACTGAAATTCATTCATTCATTTTCTTTTCGGCTTAGTCCCCTTATTAATCTGGGGTCAACACAGTGGAATGAACCGCCAACTCATCCAACACGTTTTTACGCAGTGGATGCCCTTCTAACTGCAACCCATCTCTGGGAAACTAAACTGAAATTATTAGAAAAAAAACAGGGGGCTAACAATTCAGGGAGGCTAATAATTCTGACTTCAACTGTACATTTTACAATCGCACTGCAATGAAAATATACTACTTTGTATTTGTCCATGACAGGGTTTGCACAATTTTAGGTTTGTTTATTGTTTGTATGCTTGCAGGTAATTTGTGAAAAATGCAGGAGCTTGACCAACAGTCATTTTTTACAGCCTAAATGTAGTCAAATCAAAAATCTCAACTTTTTTTTTTTTAATTTTGATGTCTCAAAGACACTTTAAAGTGATAATGACCCAGCAGTTGATGTTAGTTAACTACACAAGTTAACATTACAATACTTATGTGGCACTCATTTATCTTGTTTACCTTTCATTTTAACATTATCAAATACAGATTTTGGTTTTAATTGCAGCAAAATTGTTATTATGCATAAACTCATAAAGAGTTCATTGTGGATTGAGTTCACGGTGTTGAATTAAAGATTAGGTTGGAGAACACTTATGATTTTGACTATAACATTATTTTCTATATAATAAAAAAGATACTTTTCAGACACATTTATATTACTTAAATAATACAGTAGCAATGTTTACCTATACTTAAATATATGCGTTACCAATGGTAAAAACTATTCATTGTGTCTTTACTAAATACAACAATTTTCATCTTAAAATACAAATAAAACCTTTGAACAAATGGAATTTAATCCAAATGGATATGAGGGAGAGCTTACAACATGTTTTCTAGCATAAACTTGCTTCAGACAAATGAAAGACCAAACAAGAAGGCAACAAAAACTTTTATTTATAAAAGATGAATGACAATAGTTCACACAAACAGCTCGGCCATGTGGGAGTCGTCAACCATCATAACACTGATAAGAAAATCAATCATGCAAATGTTAGATTAGAGCCTGCGGGAAGACAAAGACATTTGATATGCAAATGTTTGAATACACCACTGAGTAAACAGTATAATACAAAGCTTTTTTCCTTCCATTTTTATTGTTTTAAAACATCTTTTTTCTAAGATTTATAAATCAAGTGCAGACTGAAGTATACCTTTAAATGCTATTGCTGACAGGGCAGTATTTTTTAGTGATTCAGCCAAGAGCTAGTTAATTTGCTGGAAAATTGTAATCGAACAGTTTATTGTGGGAGAGAAATGAGCTTTTACTTCCAGTCGCCTGTTCTAGCATCCATTTCATATAATCACAAATGCAAAAATACAATTAGAGTTTGAAGGCACCTTAAAGAGGATTTTTTTCAATACCCTGAAAGCTTCTTACACCATTTCAAATCTTTGTACTTGTTTTTGGCACCCCTACAACACATTTAAAGTGCCTGACGCCTACTTCAACAAACCCTTAATCTACGTCTCACACAATCCTTCAGGTGTAAAAGACCCATCGCAGCATATTCTCAGGCTTACCAATCGGTAACCATATTAATACAATACAAAACATTTCCTAAAATCAGTTACTCCATGAAACGGTTATTTTACAGCAATATGGGGAATTTTGATAATGAATATATTGCTTTTCTAATGAAATGCTGATGCCAATATTGATATTTTACATACCTCATTTCAAATGTGCAAATATGTGCTTGGACTATTAAAAGGATAGTTCAGATCAATGAAAATTACAGTTAATTTACTCAACCTCATGTCATCCAAGATGTACTGTATAGTTCATTAGATTTTTTCCTTTAGTAGGGCATAAAAAAGGTCTTTAGCTGAAACTGTGGTCCTTGGAGATTCAAAAATGCAAGTCATTGACTACTTTCACACAAAAAAACAAAAAAAAAAACATTCAAGCTAAATAAAATGAATACACTGAAGTTTTATAAAGTGAATGTGTGATGTTTGAGCACCACAGGACCCTTTGCCAAGACTGTGAATTAAAGTTAACTACTGTGTAAATAATGTGCAGTATCTTGCTCAAGTCCATTGTTTAGTTTCATAAAACCTCACTCATTTATTTATTCCTACATGCATTTTTTGACACTAAAAAGCACCAGTAGGCGTCGACTTGCATTTCTCGACCACAGTTACAGATACATTTTCCTTTTCTTTAAAGGAACACTCCACATTTTTTTGGAAATGGCTAGAAACTCATTCAGGTGTAATAATCAAGACACAATAAGAATTTATTTCCAAGCCATATTGACATGGAAAACAGCAACATTTCATGATCTTAGTACATAATGGAACTACATAAGAAGAGAAATAATCAACTCTATTTGTGAATTTTTGGAGCGAGATGCTCATGGTCTAATCTGATTCAATAACTTATGCTAAGCTAAGCTAAGTTAAGCTAAGCTAAACTAAAAGTGCTCCCACCAGACCTGTATATCAGCTGAATGGATTCAATAATTGTAAAACTCAATTGTTGGTAAAACTAAATTGTTTAACTCTAGGAAAGTTGTAAAATAAGCCTATTTGCAAAAAGAAAAAAAAAGAAAAAAAGGGGTTCCTTTTATTTCAACTGAAATACAAATATAATCTTGAATGACCCGAGTATGAGTAAATTAAATTAACTACAAATTTTCACTTTTGGGTGAGTGATCCCTTTAATATAGTGTTTTTAAGAACTTGGAGTGAGTAAAAAAAGTTGCAAATTCTGAGATAAAAATGGTGATATGAAACAATCTTTTGATAGTACTTCAAGTCAACATTTGACAGTACTTTTTTTACTTGTACCTTAAAAGTTATGCATTGTAATTGTATACGCAAAAAAGCAAAAAATTTGATACCGAAGAACTCAATGTCAGATATACAGAAGACGATGATACAGGAAGTAGAATTAGCAACTGAAGGATTCGAGAGTAAACAGTCAATAGTAAACAATCATCCTACTCAAAGTCACATTATGGCAAAATGCAGAGAAATCAAACCTGCACCATACTACATACTACGGACAAGTACTTGGATAGTATTGGTTATTACAGCGGTTTAAATGAAAACAAAGCTACTCGCAGGTCATTTGATCGCAAGACTAGAAACATGTTTCCACATTGCATGCATCCAATCTGGTCACCTGTAAGATTGTTTGTTCTGCAAAAACTAGGACAAGTTCGCATGATTTGTACCTTTTGAAGCAAGAAATCCACATTCACATTTACAACGTCACATAACCAAACACTCACAAGTTCTGCAGATACGTAAAATGCTACAAATTTCATAAGGCTGGCTATTCTAAAAATAATCAGATCGAATGAATGGCTGAAATCATCGTTCAAAATGTCTCAAGAATCAAACCTTTAAAGGACACGTTCAAGCAAAAATGTAACAATTTGTCAATCAAAACAACCCTATTTTGGACCCCACATACTTCCATTAAATGGACAGAGTAAATTTTTGGTTGAACTTGCCTATTCAAGAAATTCCGTTGAAAAAGACCAACACAAAGTATCATAGTAACTTCGGTCAAACGGTTGGATCTCTTAAAACTCGACTATAAACTACGCCTAAGGTGTCATTTTTGCTAATTCACAAACATTTGTCCAATAAACACTCATTTTGAATGAAAACTGTCCTCGACCTGGTATCACACAGCTGTTTTTCCAATACAAAACCACATCACTTAAATTTCGTAGTAACCGTAAGATTGTTTAGTGTGTATATTTGTGTTCAAAAGGATGTCTTGCACGCTCTTAAAAATCCACGCCCACCTAAACGTTCTCATTCACTCTGTGCAAACTTTTCGCTGCTTAAAAAGGGGGTCGAGTAGACAAAAAACGCAGCGGAGCAATTTTGGCAGCACAACGGTAAGGTACTAAATACCAAGAGGGGGCTAGTAAACAAGTTCAGCTCTGCAGCAATATAGGGTCTTCCAGCTCGTAGAAAGGCGCCGAGCTACTCTGGCTCTCACTTGAGTCTGAATCGTACGGAGTTTCCGGCAGTTCCGCGAAGCTACACGCCATCTGATCATCTTCAAAATCTGATCGCGGAGGCTCGTAGCAATCTGCGAATCCGTCCTCGTCGAAAGTGTTAAAGTCCTGTGGGATGTAAAGCATCTCCGGGTAGTTGCGGCTCACAAGGTCGCTACTGGTGGTGGGGGATACCTTGCGGAAAGCGATCAGGTGCATGTGGGAGAATTTGACGTACTTATAGCGCTTGAATCCCAGAGACTCCACTGCAACTCGCCAGCTGCGCATCATAAGCGCGTGCCGGCCCTGGTGAGAGGAATCAGGGGTGATGATGAGGAGCAGGCCGTTCAGGGTCAGGAGTTCATGTGCTTTCTTGCAGCAGAGCCAGCGCTGGTAGGGGGAAGGAAAGTAGGAGAGAAGAAGAGAGAAGACTACTACATGAAATAACTCGGCAGGTAAAGCATCAATTGGGCCTCGTAACTGCCGCAAGAAAGCATCCAAGGCATCGCTGGCCAGCTGCAGAGGCTGCTGCAGCTGCAGGTTGAGAAAGTCACATTTGTAGACACTCTGAGATCATAAAAAGGAAAAACAGATGGAGAAGCAAAAGATTTAGAGCTGTGAGGGACAGAAGTAACACTTATTTTAACTGAATTTAAAAAGTATCATACAACTTTATGGAACACAAACCTCTACTGCTGGCACAATGTCAATACCGACAGTCAGAAACTCATCAAACTTTAGGAAAGGATTGAAACAGCTGCCCACATCCAAGAGTCGGATCCTCCCAAGCTGGAATGTTGAGCTGGTACTAAGTGCAAGTAAGTAAAAAGGCTGATTTAGTAAAAAAGTTGCTATATAGACATTGAATTTGTAGTTTTAAGGCCTTAAATGTACTCAAGGGAGCATTTTAATAAAACATAGTTAAAGGAACTCAGTTATAGGATTTAAAATGGTGTTTGGTTTAACAGTAGGGTTGGGTATCATTTGGGGATATTTCGCTAGCGCTGCTAAATCGATACTTTTAAAATGATACCAGTGCCAAAACGTTGCCTGGATGATGCCCGAACTTTTTAGCCACAAAATTATTTGACAAAAATTTTTTAAAATAAATTTTATATATAATATTATATTTATATTATAATATTATATATTTATATTATAAAATATGAATTGATGTTTACTTAAAACTTGTGTGTCTGTGTATGTTTGTGTGTATGTATGTATGTATGTATGTATGTATATACACACACACACACACACACACACACACACACACACACACACACACACACACACACACACACACACACACACACACACACACACACACACACACACACACACACACACACACACACACACACACGTTTTAAGTGAACATCAATTCATATTTTATATATTTGAATTGCATTAATATATTTCTTTTGATCATTTGTTTGTAAGCATGAATGCAAGATTTGCATTAAGCTATTAACATTACATTAGCTAACTACTAACTTGTGGAACGGCTGTCATCAAAATCAGGGAGCACCTTTTTTCTGGGTTTGGGGTTTGTGACTACTTTTACATGGACATCAGTGATCTAATGATTTGCCTTAATCTGAATGAGACAATAATATGATTAAGGTGTTTACATGAGTAGCTTTTTGAATGTTACATTCATGATTCTCAGTTACATGTTATAGCACATAGATCCATCAACGTCATTGTGTCACCAGCCTAAAAATGTTTCCTCCGCAGTTTGTGTCTGGGGTCCTTTAAGATAATCAAAAATCACTGTTTACGTAGACTCGTGATCAGAGTCCTAATCATATTAAAATCAGAGTATTGGTGTCCATGTAAACGTACTCACTGAAAGTGCCAGATGATGTCACAAGCTGTCAAAGGCAGTCCATACTGTACCTCACCTTTAAGTTCATTCCATGAGCCCTCACATTTTATAAGTTTTACGAGTTTCCCCTCTTACACGCAACTTTTGTAAAGCATCTGCTGCATGTTTTACAAGCAGTATCCTTGCCTGTAAAATATAGCCATATTTTAGTATGCTTAGTTTAAGGAAATTAGATGCATGTGATCATGCGTGTTGATTAAGGGAGTCGCTCGCCGCATGTGCCATACTGCGCGCTTTGCCTTCTATAAGCAACCAGAACAAATGCCTGACATCACTGACATCGGTATACCACAAAGCTGTTTAGAATTAAATATTTAGAGGTGGTGTGACACAATGCGTACTTATATGTGCTTTGGATGCACTACTTGATGCTTAAGGCCGTCAAACATCTGATGCGCCGCTCAGAGCAGCGGCACGGCGCGCACATGACAGCTAATATCATCACACACCAGACATGCATATTCGCATGTTATTTAAAATCAAACTATTCGGATGTCGATGTGTGGTGCGGCAGAAATATGAACATAGACTTGTGAATTCTAAAATGCATGGCGCTGTATGGCACGTCACCAAACAGAGCTTCTGGTGTGCAACCTGCTTTACGTTCTTGTTACAGCACCAGTGGCACCGAAATTAGGCACCGCAATTTATATGCTGATTAGGTCTAGTGCATACCAGTTCCAAAGGAACCCAACCCTATTTAACAGTGTTAAAGATTTCTTCAAAAGAATGAATTAAATGAAATAATTCCTTACAGAATCCTAATCTTTTTCTGCTAGTAATGCAAGCCTGCCGACAGAGGCATCAAGTGCAAATCAACAACTAAAGGGCGAAATGATTCTTTTTTTTTGTAAATATTTGTGATGGAGATGAAACATAGACTATAAAAGTATGTAAGCCCGTTCTCACCATTAATAATAATAATAATAAAAAAATGTAAATAAAAACTAAACTAACATAAAAAATAAAAATAAATAAATAAACATGATAAATAATAAAAAAGATAAAAGCGTGATAAACAATTAGCAGTCGTGTGGCTTAACGTTGTGATTGCGCCTTTAACACTTCATTTACGGTCAGTCGCCATAACAGGAAACTATTGTTAAAACTCGCAATTCTAACTTTATAATTCGGAATTCTGACTTTATAACAGGGAATTATGACTTTATAACTGAGAATTATGACTTTATAACTTGGAATTATGACTTTATAAATCAGAATTGCAATTTTATAACTCGCAATTCTGACTTTATAACTTGGAACTGCGACTTTATAACTCACAATAGTGACTTTATAACTTGGAATTCTGACTTTATAACTTGGAATTCTGACTTTATAACTCGTAATTCTAATGTTTTAAATCGGATTTGCTACTTTAAATCTCGGGATTCTGACTTTATAACTCGTAATTGCGACTTTATAACTCTTAATTCTGACTTCATAATCTTTTAAATATTTTATTTTCTTTTTTTTTGTCAGTGGCGGGAACAGGAAAAAGGGTGTTTCCAGCTGTGTTGAGGTGGGAATGTCACGGTTAGTGCAAAAAACTATTACAATGCAAACTCGCACACACTGGGGAAATGGAGTGCGATTCTGAGAACAATAGTATTTTTTCCCAACTGTCACTGTTAAAAATAATTAAATAAATAGATTATACAAAGACCATTTGTCTAAAAGTGTCGTACTGCACTTAATGCATAACTGCATAAAAAGTGGATTGTGTTTTATTGTTGCTCGGATACTGTATTAATATTAATATATATTATAATAATATATTAATAATAATATATTAATAATATATAATATGTAATATATATAATATATAATATATATTATATATAATATATAATATATTAATAATATATTATTAATATAATATTATATTATAATATTATAAAGTCTTCTAAAATTGAAAGAACCAACAGTTTGGACCATGTGTTAGCTCTGCTCACATCGAAATGAAACAGATTTTGTGTGTGTTGACAAACTTAGAAACAGAGCACTGACTAGTGCGCGGTGATTGAATTGAACCAGCTCTTTCTCATGAATTAATGTGCAGAAACACTGAAAACCTGATGATGTCACTGTGTACTGGCAGCAATTCACCATGCAGAATTTGCATTTACCACTTGGCCATGAAATTGCTTCGAAATGTATTCTTAAACCAAAAGGACAAATTTGTTCAAAACATTGCAAAATTAACCAATTTTCACTGAACAATGAAATGGAGGGGTCCTAATATTGCTTTTATCAATGTGCCACACATTATCTCAAACAATGTGTTTTAGTGTTTCATGACCCTTTAAGCATTACTATTATAAAAGTCATTCATAGTTCTTGAGCAGGTAGTTCCATTAAAAATTCTAGTAAATTTTAAAAAGCTAGTGCGAAGACCCATGAGGTGGAAACGTTATATAGTGGTAAAATACCATGCAAGATATACAGTTGAAGTCAGAATTATTAGCCCCCCTGAATTATTAGCGCCCGTTTATTTTTTTCCACCAATTTCTGTTTAATGGAGAGAAGATTGTTTCAGCACATTTCTAAGCATAATAATTTTAATAACTCATTTCTAATAACGGATTTATTTTATCTTTGCCATGATGACAGTAATTAATATTTTACTTGATATTTTTCAAGACACTTCTATACAGCTTAAAGTGACATTTAAAGGCTTAACTAGGTTAATAAGGTGAACTAGGCAGGTAAGGATAATTAGGAAAGTTATTGTTTATCGATGGTTTGTTCTGTAGATTATCGGAAAAACAATTAGCTTAAAGGGGCTTATAATTTTGTCCCAAAAATGTTTTTTAAAAAATTAATAACTGCTTTTATTCTAGCTGAAATAAAACAAATAAGACTTTCTCCAGAAGAAAAAATATTATCAGACATACTGTGAAAATTTCCATGCTCTGTTAAAAATAATTTGGGAAATATTTAAAAAAATAAAAATCAAATCAAAAGGGGGATATTAATTCTGAATTCAACTGTATATCTGTTTAGTCAAATACTGTATCGCAAACAGCCAAGACAGTTTTAATCTGGCAAGTAATCATGAAACCCAATGATGACAGCGAATGGAAACAAGTAGAAAAAAATTATATCCTGAAATATCCGTGCATAAGTTTCTCTGTGAACAGAGTTATAGCTTCTTTTCTACCGATAAATATTCATTTTCCAATATAAATTCAGGCCTTTTGCTTAAATGTTTTAACTCATGGACATTTGACTTAATTGATTAATAAATTAATTTGACAATTTTCAACATTAAAGAAGGCGGAGGCTCAGAGCCACACCTACATATAAAAATCACCATGGATACCTTAAAGAAGTTTAAAAGCTGAACTAAACTTGTATTTTATGCAAATATACTGTGGCCTTTTAACAGTGTCATTCTAGAGCACCTTATAGAGGACAGCTGCGGTGGAGCATTTGTATCGGTGTTTGCATTCCCAGCTGTGGCATGCCTAGCACTCTTCTCATCTTTCTCCAAGACTCGCCTCATCCCTCCATCCTGGAAATACTCCTGACAAACACTGAGAAAAAGCATAATTTAGCATCACTAACACTGCGAAACAGCAAAATTTAGCATCATTCAGTACAAAAAATGTGTTTTATCAACCTGCGGCACCACTCAATGCGTCCCTCTCCCTCGCATTTATTGGCCCAGTGGTTGTCAGCAAGATTCTTCATGGCCATGGCATATTCACTAAGAGTCTGCTCATCTTCACAATGCTCACGCCATATTTTATCGAAATCTCCCACTGCAGCCAAAGAGAAAAAAAAGGGCGTACCATCACATCACGTGACTGATAATTCTTCAAAGCATAAATAGCAAACACTTCCACAAAACCTACTTTCTGAGGTCAAACACAAACCAACAGTTTGATTCTGAAACCGAAGCCTTGCAAAACACAGTCCGATTTCTTCAACAGCTCAGTTAAACTCCATTGCCAAGCTTAAAAGTACCGTATCATCAAAATGTTTGTGCTGATTCACTCACAGTTTCAAAAACTTGCTGATAATGACGATGACACCAAAAGGCGAGACAGCAAAACTGTTTGGGAGAGCAAGAACTGACAAAAAGTGAGCCGTCCCATGACAGAGTGGAAAATACAGGCCTTATCTGATTTACGGAGAATAAGACAAGAAGGGAAGAGACTGCAGCGCCGTTACATATGAATACTGCTGTACAATGCCAAGAAGACCAGATCATGCCTTCCTTATTAACCCATCACGGGGTCTAGTGAATAGACTACTGTGTGTGGGATTTATAGTGCTGCTCGTCCCTCTTGGGGGAAACCATGGAAGATTCAATATAGAGATTCTAAACCTAGAGAAACTAAACAAAACACACAAAAATCTGACTGTATAAATGTTTATTTTGCCCAACTTTGTGTGGGGAGAGCTGTTACTGGAAAAAAAAACTGATTACATAACTATCATTTACATTACCGAAAAATTATGTTTTTGATGATGAAGTCAAATAGCAGCTGATGAAGAGCGAGACGTAAATGCTAGGGTTGTGCAATTCATCTAAATTCAACAGCGATATCGAAATAGGCCTCCAACAATTATTAAAAAAAACTGTAGTCTACAGTCCAAAAGTCTGCACTTGCTCTTACCCAAAGCCCAATTTGACATGGAAATCAGTAAAATCAAGCAACATGACTTGACATGCAGCATGGGAAACTGAAACAATGTGTATTAGATTTATTCATTTTTTTAAAAGAAAATTTGTGGCGTTCTGTGTATGCACTTCATGAAGCTATGAAGTAAACTGACCCTGCTATAAATACCATGAAAGTTAACTCTGTTTTTGGAACCAAAAGTTGAGGTTATCAACTTCCATTATGGCTGGTTGATTAATCGAAAAGCAATCGAAATTGACATTCAGAACTTATAGTCATCTATTTTTTTTTTAAGTCAAAGGTAAGCAAAGCAGTTTGTAAGCAAGCGGAAAAACTATTTATTTTCTTTTTCTCTCAGAAAAATGAAAAAAAGTGATAAAAAATTAGGAATGATATGTTATACATTATAAATTTAGGATAGAAGATAAACACCTCCATCTCTCACAAATTTTAGCCATTTTGCAGTACCACAGCTGTATTTTTATAATTATTATTTTTTGTTTGTATAATAAGCTACACTACCTGCTTAATTTGAGTTTAACTTGTTAACAGAAAGGAAACGTAATTTTATTTGTGCTTACTGTTTGCTCAAGACAAAAATGAGAAAAATTTCTGAATGTTTAAAGCCAAATTTGAAAAAATGTGTGAGCAAGTTAATATCTTTTCAGTTCCTTTTTTAACTAACACTCACTGCATTTTAGCAGTAAAAAGCTACAATACAGATTATCGAGCTGAAGCTTGACTACAACATCAAATCGCAAATCGAAATATCGGTCCAAAAAAAATAATAAATAAAAATATTGCAATTAGATATTTTCCCCAAATCGTACAGCCCTACTGCTGACTATGCAGAAAGAAGACATCACTTTTTTGTGCAAGAAACTGAACATTAAGTACATTATTACTTTTAATCCTCAACTCTGTCAAACTACAGTCTACAGCGCAAGTTTCCTGTCACACAAAATTGTTTGCGTGGTCTCAATATCACATGTGAGCCAACTCTCAGCACGACTTACGGGTATAGAAAGTCCAGGGTCTTGTTGGAGACAAGGTGGAACCTTAATGGCCAATCATTATCACATCTTCGGGCTTGTCCACAAATACAGCCCTTTTGGTATAAAACAGCAATTGAAATTGAAATTAAAAAGATAACTGGAGAAGATATGATTATTCATACTTTTTTTTATTATATCTTGAGAAAATGTCAGAAATTGTTCCAGGCAATAAGAAATAATTAATAAAAACACTTTTAGCAAGTAACAAAAGCCATAACTCAGAAAAGGTTTCAGGCTGATCCTCCAACATAGGCCCAACGGATAGGAATTGTAAAGGAGATAAACTATATGAATAGACTCACATTTACCTAAAGAATTCATTCAAAAGGTGTGAAAAGTATTGGAAAAAATGGACATTGCGAATAACATGTGAAAATGTGCACCAAATGTGTTTTGTTTTAATAATGTGACCCCTATGATAACTATTTTGTTCCTTTTATGTTCCTTCATCTGGTTAAATATCTGTTTTAAATCACATGCGAGCTGACACTTTGTTTGCATTAAATGTGTTGTATTGTTCAACAAAATGGCACCTGCTTGTGCATATCCTGCATGACGCAACCTGTATAAAAATGTAAATAAACAGCAGTAGCTTATATAGGAGTTTGCAAAGGGATGCTCATTGCTTATGCTCCAGGTTGTTGTAATCAGGATTTGCAAAGGTTGTGAATAAAAGTCAATAATAAACACTGTAAAAGAAATTAATTTTCAGAATCATTGTTTTACTACATCATGTATCCGCTTGTTAAGTGTGACCTCACACGAAGCGGATCCCGGGTCCAATCGCCATATAAAACTGTATGTGGAATCTCATCAAAGGGTAATAATAAATGTTTACAAAGCGCTGTAATACTTTCGAAAGTCACAACTGCAGTATAAATATCCATGTCTATTATCAGAAAGCCAGAAAGGGATTTGTCTTTATAAACTGTTAAGCGTCTGTGATGCAGCAAATTCAGAGACAGTTGTGTACACCATGACTTTATATAAAATTCACTTTAATGAATGATATGACTAAAAAATGGTCATTAACAAACACTTCCGCAATTTAAATGAGTAACAGCTTGGAACCCAAAACATTATTTCATCGTCACGACTTAAGTGAATAGCCAAGACAGTTTTAAAGTTTTTAACTCAAGAGTGCTGTAGAAATTTACTTGCTATTTACAGATCCAAATTTCAGCTAGTAACGTCTTTAAATGGCTACATTCTAAGACGCTTAACACGAAAAAAGCTTAACATGGCTTAATGTACCTAAACATAACCCAGAGAAACCCAAATTTATGTCATATTGTACTTGTAATTAACCCCAACTACTGTAAAAAGAATGAGTCCCAATTTCATAGACAAAGTAAAAAACATCACATTAAGTGTTTTCTCCTCCATTTAAGTCTATTATAAGGAAAAAGCTTAACATGGCTTAATACACCTAAACAACAGGCAGGGAATTTTTTTTCGATCAAATATTACTTATGACAAACTCTTTCTGATGTGAAAAGAATGAGCTGTAATTTTAGGGAGTAAACATTTTCACGTTATGCATTTTAAGTTCATTATAAGGAAACAGCTTAACGTGGCTTAATATACTTTAACACCGACCGGGGAAACCCCCCAAAAAATTCTGTCAAACGTTACTTGTGATTAACACCAACTATTGCAGGGCTCAACAATAAGGACTGCCCGGTGGCCCGGGGCCAGCGTGTTAGGCGCTCTGGACAGTAGACAGAATTGTTACTGGCCCGATTCGTAGTGCCTTGTCACAAGAGTTCAATTTGTCTGCGACTATTTGTTAATTGCATATGAATACAGTCTAAGAATCGAGAAACAGTTTGTGCTTTTAAGCCTTTAAATGCTGCCTTCCCAGTGATGTCATAAACACCATGTTGCTTTTCGGTTCCTTCTATCTGATTGGATGTTGTGAGCATGTAGTTTTTTTTTTGTAATCTGGTAAAAACCAGTACAGCGAAATAAATTTATGAGGCTAAAAGAATGTCTTGGAAGCAGACATTTACATGGGTACCATGCTAAGATATGCTCATTATACATTTTTTTACATTTTAAAAATATAAAAATTCTAGATTCAAAACACATTTTTGACACAATATTAAAACATGTGGCTAACAAATATCTATTAACTTAACTTTTTTTTGGTGGGGCCAGTGAACATATTCGCAGGGCAAGTAAAAATCTGAACCGCTGGCCCAATTGGGCCAGTAGAAAAAATCCTTAGCGTTGAACCCTGTATTGTCAAAAGAACAGGTCCTAATTCCATGAAGTGAACAATATTATGTTAAGTGTTTTCTCCCTATTGAAGAATATAATAAGGAAAGGCTTAAAATAACTTTACAACAACCGAGGGAAACCAATAAAGGAAAAGTTGGCTTTATATTGGGAGATTCAGACATTCTCCTTAATAATATAATTTCAGAAAAGCACTCTTTGCAAATTCTAAATAGGGAAATCATATTAGCAGCAAATGGCTATCAAAGTACAGCATTGTCCACAGTGAATTAGATAGTGTTAATGTTGTTTAGAAATCATACTTGCATGCTAATTCTGATTGAATACTTAAAGTAATATAGTAAACAATATAGAGACTGCTAGTACTAAATGACAGATGTGCAAATATAAAACCAACTTTACCTTTTTGGAAAACCACATGTTAAAAAGACTGTTCGTAAAATTAAAGTTAGTGTTAATCACAAGTAAAACTTGATCGAAATTTAATTTTCCCAGCTTGTTGTTAAGGTACATTAGGCCACATTAAGCTTTTCCCTTATAATAGATTTCAATAGAGGGGAAAACACTTGATGTTTTTTTTTTGTTTTTTTTTGTATCTATGGAATTGGGACTCGTTCTTTTTACAGTAGTTGGAGTTAATTACAAGTAACAGAAATTTGGTTTCTCTGGTTTATGTTTAGGTACATTAACGTCAAACCACGTTAAGTGTTTTAAAATGTCATTCACAATGTTCTATTGGGAGGAAAATATTACATTTTGAATGGCTTGAGGGTGAGTAAAGTGTTTTATTTTTGTGTGAACTATTCCTTTAAATGTTGTTTATGCGTTCGAACACTTGGCCAATGGCTTAGTGAAAGGCAAAACAGGAACAGATGAACATCCCCGCACTTGCTGACTAGACTATAATGTCGTTTAAGAAACAGACAAAACCACTAACATGAGCTGTTTTGATATCTAATATGCTGACTTTCAAGACTAAGTCATTTAAAAGCGTTCGGAACGTTCTCTTCAAATGTTACACGAAATGTTATCTGTATGGGCATTAAGTTACTTGTGACTGAACCAAACAAACAGCCCAAAACGAGACAAATGTGACAGCAAATCATCCCAAAAAGCATCGCGACAGATAATTTAATTAAAATAACACAGTCAGGTTTTTTCTTCTGGCGTTTATGTTTGTGATCAGGCCGGAGTGAGTCCAGAAACTGATCTAGGCTAAGCTACACAGCTACGCATCTCTAATTTCAATACCTTCAATGTATTTCCTGCGGAGTTTTCGGTGCACGCTCTTCACCACCCCGGACAGCTTCTCCTGTTCCTGCTTCCTGGACTGCAGCTCCGCCGGGACGGAGCCGGGATGGTTTTCGGAGAGGTCCGGGTCTGTCTCAGCGCTGCTCCGCAGGTCCATAGTACAGCACTGAGCTCCCGGTGAACCGGCTCCGTCAGTCCGTCAGCGCGCACGAACACACTGCAACAACACGCAGCCTGATTGCGCCTCTCCAGTGAACTTGCCGGAAGTGCAGGGCCAATCTGCGAACGCTAAATATAAAACGCCTATGAGTTCTGAAATGTTTATTAACAAGTTTGTTCGTTTTGTTTTGATGAGATGTTACATGCAATAATAATAATAATAATAATAATAATAATAATAATAATAATAATAATAATAATAATAACAACAAGAAGAGGAAGACGAAGAAAAAAGGTAGTATTATAAAACATTCATTCATTGATTTATTCATTTTCTTTTTGGCTTAGTCTCTTTATTAATCTGGGGTCGCCACCGTGGAATGAATCGCCAACTTATCCAGTATATGTTTTACGCAGTGGATGCCCTGCACATAATGAATATTATTAACGATTATTATTCTTAGGTTTATAATTAATTGCTGTCATTGTTATTTCATAGTAACAATACATTTTAATAAGTTTACACAATTTCTAAACTAAGATATAATTTGATTATTATTATTTATAATTACATTTTAATAAGTTTATTCATTCATTCATACATTCATTCATTTTCTTTTCAGCTTGGGGTTGCCACAGCGGAATGAACCACCAACTTATCCAGGATATGTTTTTACACAGCGGATGCCCTTCCAGCTGCAACCCATCACTGGGAAACATCCATGCACTTTCATACACTACAGACAATTTAGCTTACCCAATTCACCTAAACCACATGTCTTTGGATTGTGGGGGGAAACCGGAGCACCCGGAGGAAACCTATGCAAACACAGGGAGAACATGCAAACTCCACAAAGAAATGCCAACTGACCCAGCCGAGGCCCGAACCAGTGATGCTCTTGCTGTGAGGCGATCGTGCAACCCACTGCACCACCGTGCTGCCTGAATAAGTTTATAACATGTATAATTTAAATTTTAAAATTGTGATGATGATGCTGATTATTGTTATTAAATTTAACAACAAAATGTTGTGCTGGGATTAGTGTATATGAGTGTAAATGCAGTTTAGTGTTTGGTTTGAGACAAAAAAGGATGTTCCTTAAAGGGATCATTCATCCGAGACTGAATATTCTGTCACAATTTAATCACTCACTTGTCACAAACCTTTTTTCATACAAAAAAAAAAGTATGAAAATTTCGCAAAATGTTAAAAAAACTGTAACCATTGTTTTTGTTTTTCCTACTGTAACCCTGCTAGTCCTACACCACCGAACCCAAACCAAGCTGGTATAGAACCAGCACCATTCCACCTGAGAGTCGATTGCTCTGATGGAGGCTAAAGACCATGGCCTCTAGGACCTGTCACAAGAGCAACTTTAGAGGTCAGAGGAGTGAGGTTTACCTGCACAGCACTTTACTAGCTGGCCACCGCGACACTACAATGGAAGTTACTAGTTACAGGTCTCCAGTGGTAAAACTAAAAAGTACTGAAGAGTACTGCAAAATCATAATTAGGTAAAACATACTATTACTTGCCCAAAAATGTAGTGCAAGTAAGAATAAAAGTATGTGTTGTAAACATTACTCGAAGTATGAGTACAAAATAGACCTTTCAAAAGTACTCAAGAGTAGTGAGTAGCGAGTGCTGCGCTTTGAAAAGCTGTGAAAATGCGTTTACATGTAATTTGTGGAAGTGTGTAAATGTAACATTCTGTTGTGCATTTAGTTATTGCTTAGCAGGCAAACAACATCATAAAACGTTAATATTAGGTTAGATTTAGGATGTGATGTCAGGTGATCAAAAATTAAAGTATACCCAGTGTCTAAGGACAATGATATTTTGACATTTCTTAACAACATCAAATGACGTTGATATTTGGTTGAATTTAGGTTGTGTTAGAAAGTGATCAAAAACCTACATCGAGCCAACATCTTAAACCAACGTCATATTGATGTCAAATACTGACATTTATTCATCGGGTATGGCAACCAAAATCCAACATTTGATAGATGTCATAGTGTTAACATCCACACAACATCAAGCTGTAACATCATTAGATGTTGATATTTGGGTGATTGTAGGTTGGACGTTGGACATTGACATCGCCTTGATGTTTTATTCTGAATTCAACCTGATTTTCATTTCCAAACAAAATGCAACGTCTCCACAACATTAGGGTACAACGTAAATCTATCGTCATGTTGACGTCTTGTGTCTGCTGGGTGTTTAAGACCATGTTGTCTTCAAACAGCAAACGTCCATCATCAACAGTGTATGGGTCAATGTGTGTAAAGTTTATAGACATCTACTTCGACACTTTTAATGCTTCCAAACAGTTTGCTGCAATTATAAACCGCCCTTGTCTTGAGGTAGTTCATTATGATGGCATTTACCTTCTATGTGCAATTTGATTGGACAGGAATCACAGAGCTGATTTTTCTAATCCCCAAAGACAAGAAAAAATAAAGTAGTGACTGCAGGTTGAGGGAAAGTAGTGGAGTAAAAGGACCAATGCTGCACTATACATGTACTTAAGGCAAAGTAAATTATAGTAAATTATAATTTCTGGGAAAATTGACTTAATTACAGTAATATAAGTATTTGTATTTTGTTAATTTACACCACTGCAGGTCTTTACCATTAATCTAATCAAAATATCTTTTGTGTTCAACAGCAAACAGAAACTTATAAAGGTTTTCAACAACTTGCGGGTGAGTAGATTGTGAGTAAATACATTTTTTTTGGGTGAACTGTCCCTTTAATATATGCATAGTTTTTGACGCCACTCTTATTATTCTGAATTAGCTTAAATAAAGTGGAAATACAACAAAAGCTTGCTAATAAGAATCCATGTATAGTTAATAATTCTTATAGGCTGGAGAGTCACATCACAGGGTCACATTCCCGCGAGCTCTGACTTGAAATCCTGTGAGGAATGGCGAGTACGGGAAATGTGTCACGTTTCATTACACACAGCTTTGGCTTACAGTGAGTATTATAAAACTAACAAAACCACTACAGTTTGACACACACAATTTTGACTCAACTTTGCTTTGTAGCCTTTTTTTGAAATCCAATATAAATTTACTGACCATTAACTAGTTCCAAACTTGCTTTATTTTCTTTTGCCTTTTAAACAGAAAAAAGACGTTTTGAAGAATGTTGGAAACTGATAAGCATTGGCATACAAAGAAAAACAAATGAAAGTCAATGGGTACCCGTTTCCAACATTTTTTAAAATGTCTTATTTTGCGTTCAACAAAAGAAAGAATTGAGAAAATAATTTCTTAAACTATGGCTTGAACTATACCTTTAATATATAAATGTTGTGCAAAAGTTCCATCAAGTCATCACTTTTGACCACGACTGAGTAATCATGACCTTATGTTGTTACTGTTTGATGCATCAACTGGACTTTACCAAACCTGAACTAGAGTTACAATGCTATTGTGTGTATCCTTGAGTTTGAAATTGTCATTTTGCAGTTCCATCCCATTCAAAGAGAGTGATAATCCTGTAATATCCTCCATGCTCAGTTGTGCAGACTCCTTCTTAAAGGGGCAGTTCATCCAAACATGAAAATGTTCTCTATATTTACTCATCTTTAAGTGGTTTCTGTAAAAATCATAAAAGATATTCTGAAGAACCTGTAACCATTGACTTCCATAGTAGGAAAAAACAAATACTATGGAAGTCAATGGTTACAGTTTTTCCTGCTTTCTTTGCAATTTTTGTTATTAACAGAAGAAAGAAAATCATAAACAAGTTTTGGGTGAAATTTCTCTTTGAGAGACTAGATAGTTTTGTCATTGTACTGTATAAACACAAAATCATTCATACAAGAGACAAAGTTCCTTAGAACATGTGTTTATGTACACTCAACGGCCACTTTATTAGGTACACTTTACTATTTCCAGGTTGAACCCCCTTCGGGGCATTCAACAAGGTACTGGAAATATTCCTCAGAGATTTTGGTCCATATTCACATGATAGCATCATGCAGTTGCTGCAGATTTGTTGGGTGCACATCCATGATGCGAATCTCCTTTTCCACCACATCCCAAAGGTATTGGATTGAGTTCTGGTGACTGTGGAGGCCATTTGAGTACAGTGAACTCATTGTCATGTTCAAGAAACCAGTCTGAGATGATTTATGCTTTATGACATGGCGTGTTATCCTGCTGGAAGTAGCCATCAGAAGATGAGTACACTGTTGTCATAAAGGGATAGACATGGTCAGCAGCAATACTCAGGTAGGCTGTGGTGTTGATAAAATGCTCAATTGGTACTAATGGGCCCAAAGTGGGCCAAGAAACACCCAGTGTGGTCTTCTGCTGCTGTAGCCCATCCACCCCAAGGTTAGACATGTTGTGCATTCGGTGATGCTCATTTGAGCAACTGTTGCCTTTCTATCAGCTGGAACCAGTCTGGCCATTCTCCTCTGACCTCTGGCATCAACAAGGCATTTGCGCCCACAGAACTGCCACTCACTGGACATTTTCTCTTTTTCAAACCAATCTCTGTAAACCCTAGAGATAGTTATGCGTGAAAAACCCAGTAGATCAGCAATTTCAGACCATCTGGCACCATCAACCATGCCACATTCAAAGTCACTTAAATCACCTTTCTTCCCCATTCTGATGCTCAGTTTGAATTTGAACTGCTGCAGATCACCTTGACCATGTCTATATGCCTTTGAGTTGCTGCCATGTGATTGGCTAATTAGAAATTTGCATTACGCAGTTGGACAGGTGTACTTAATAAAGTGGCTGGTGATTGTATACAGCTATTAAAAGAGTCAGATGTATTTCTTTGAACTGCATAGTTTAATAACCAGGAGATTAGATCATAGTTCATCTGATGGTTCAGTGAAAGACGGTTTTTCGAATGATGTCCAATAATAAATGAACAAGATAAAAGCATATTAAAATAAGAAAAGCTGCACAATATTGAATTGCAATAAAAATGCGCTGTGATT